TAATTAAGGCCCCTGATTACAAACCAAGAAACTGTAAATTTTAGTTCTCAATAAGAGCTTGAGAAAAATCCTGTATTATAGGAACTACTTGGAAACAGAGAAAAACTGACGACTTAATCTGCTGAAATGAAATGGAAATATGGCTTCAAAAGCCTGGATAGCTTCACCTTCTCAGGAAAACTGAAGAATTCTAGCACATAATCTTAGGAAAATAAAATAAATCTACTTGTGGGTGAGGGAAAAAACAGAGAGATAAGGAAAAAATATTTTTGAAGAAAGCATTGTGTGAAGCATATGTAGTCACTACCGGTCGAGGAGTCATATTCTGGGAAGCCAATATGCTGCCGCATTTTTAGAATAGTGACAGAACCAGATCATTTTTTTTATATTCCGTCTGGTTAAGTGACTCATGAACTGCTTTAACTACTTCCTGAATAAGCTGTTGTTTGAAACTTTCTTTTTTAAAAATAGTAATTTTATTAAAAATTACATTGCAACAATAAAAATTAATACAAACCTTTAAAAAAAAAGAAAAAGAAAAAGCAGAAGGTCAGGTAAGAAAAAAAAATTTAGAATATGGTAAAGAAAAGGGAAAGTATCTAAAGAAATTATTTTCCCTTTATCACAAGAAATATAAACAATTTTAATAATATATCACCTTTATATAAAATGCAACAAATGATCTCTTCTTCCCATATCCCTTCTCATATTTATAAACCATATCCTGAAATCCTTGTTATTTCAGTCAGAATGTCAGTAAAAGTCCAGAAAGTGTTACTAGAAAAGACAACATTTATACAACATATTGAGAATCAGTTTGATCTAGTGGTTAAGGCACCTAACTACAAACCAGGAGACCATGAGTTCTAATCTCATCTTAGACATGAAAACTGGCTGGATAACCAGTCTTTTTGTCTCAAATCAATCCACCTCACAGGGCTGTTGCAGGGAAAATGGGAGGAGGAAGGAGTATGTTCAGTGACTTGAGTTATTTATAAAAATAATAATAAATAAATAAAGTAAATGTCTACTTTAACCTTGATCAAATAAGCCAGCTTTATATTCCTTCCTTTTACTTTTAATAATCTTGATCATTAGTGTCTTTTAGAATTTGATTTCTTTTCTTTTCTTTTTTTGCCCATCTCAGAAAAATCTTTCAAGCTTTTAACAAGTTTCTTTTGTACATGCAATAGAGGAAAATTATCCAGAACATTCTCTTGGATCTGCAAGAATCTCTACTGAATGTTTATTACATTGCTGGTGTTCTTCCTATAAGGGTCAGGTAATGTGCTCCATGGGAGGAGTTCTAGTCTAGTCTCTTCTTGAAAGCTTCCAGAGATGAAACTCCCACAACTTCTGAAGGCAAGCTGTTCTATTGGTTGATTGTTCTCACTGTCCGAAAATTTCTCCTTTTCTCCAGGTTGAATCTCTCCTTGTTCAGTTTCCATCCATTATTCCTTGTCTGGCCTACATGTGCTTTGGAAAATAGCTTGACCCCCCCCCTCCTCTCTGTAGCAGCCCCTCAAATATTGGAACACTGCTATCATGTCTCCCCTGGTCCTTCTCTTCACTAGACTAGCCATGCCCAGTTCCTGCAACTGTTCATTGTATAAGGCTAAAACATACTCCCAGCTCCAGCTGAGCTACTTCTGATTTACGTAGCAGCCTAACTTGTTTCCTTTTCATCTTTTTCCCTATTGGGATTATTAGAGTAGCAGTGGGAGTTGAGAATGTCAAGTAATTAAGCCACTTTTGCCCTGTTTATTTTAATCCCACATCTCATTTAAGAGCTCACGATAAAATACATAAATCCCCTCTTCTCATTTCTTTTCTACAACAGCAACTTTGTGCTCTCTCTTACACACACACATCTGTAACATATAAAGTAATTGTTACAAATTCTTCCCCCATTAAGAAGTGAAGAATTCTCCAAATGAAGTTTAACTTCTGGTGACCTCATAAACACAGCCATACAGTTTTCTTACCAATAGTATAGAATTATTTGCTATTAGTGTGGAGTCCTTGGTGTTCTCCACGCTGATGATATTATCTACTTGGGCAATGAAAAGTCTGCAAGAAAACAAGCAAGTTCAGAGAGCACTAAGGACCCCACAGTTCAACCATGAGCTACAAATATTCTCTTCCAATTTGCTGTTACCTTTCCCTTCTAGGATGCTTTCTGACTTCCCAATCTAGCCTATAGCCCTGAGATTCCCTGGTGGTCTGCTTCCCAAGCATTGACCAAGTCCAACTCTGCTAAGCCTCAGCCTTATTGTCCATTTCCCATTTTCTCCATGAATGTAGAGTAAAGCTGTATCTTATCTCCTGAAATATGGCTTGCTTCTGACTGAAGAACTGATTCTGAGAAACATTTTCTTAGTATGTTTTTATTTCAATTTACAAACAGGTCCTGGCTGATGCAGCCTCTACATTGTGTAAATAAATAATAAGATTAAAAAGAAAGGAGAAAAAAATAATTACATCAAACAGAGTGGTCCAAAAGAATTTTCTTTTCTTTATAAATTTTGTTTTAAAGTGCCATAGCCATTTGTTTTTTTTATATGCTTTCAGAACAAGGAATGTCCCATGTGGTGGCAGTATTAAGCTCCTTGAGGGCAGCCTGTTCTTCCTTACAGGATTTTTATATGTGTTTGAATCCATTATGCAAACCAACATATGATCAGATGAATCATAACTAAAATTTATTTTTCTTCCTCTTAGCTGTGACATGGCATTTTTATCTTTGTAGTGGTCCATTATAGTACTAATGCGAACATTATATTTTCTCTTAAAGCTGTGCTGTTAGAAAAACTGGCAGCTTAGGAGGATCTTAATTTTTTTAGAGTTTTTAAGGAAAGAAATATATGTCCATATATCAATATATGTCCAATCAGTAGACCAAAAAGGAAAGCTGCTTTATAAAGACATCATTAACTTTGACATATATTTCACTTATCCTTAAATTATGATAATCTCGATTATCCAGGGGGTGGATTTTTTTTATGACTTTAACAGCCCACTTTTGTAAATCCAGTAATGAGTCATTATCCAGGTTGTTTTTCATCCCTTGCCTTACCATTTGTATTTGCATTTTAGTTTTCATCTCTGTCTTACAGTTCAAAACTTCTATTTTATTTTCTGCTATTTCCATATATATGCTTGTTTTTGTTTTATTTCTTCATTCTGGCAATGTGTAAATTCTTCCAAGTTATTCTCCATTGCATCCTTCATTTCTTCTTTAAGATCTTTTCATGAGCATATATTGTTGTTATTGTACCTGCAAAGCTTCTTTCACATTTCTTTAAAAAAGCCTTTGAAATGTCCCTAGTGTAATACTTTTATCTGTCATCTTTTCATTCCTGGTTATCAAATTCAAAAAGATAGAAAACAGACTTTTCTTCTTTTTCCTCTACCAGAAATCTTTAGCCACATCTAGTGTCTCCTTTTTGTAATCACATAGTCTGACTCAAATTTCTTTTTGCTTCTTTTAAAAAATAAATAAACCAATCATTTCTCTCTTGAAAGACTAAACAATTTATGTTTCCACAAGGATATTATTTTGTTTTTAATTATTTCAAAAATCTTAAAGTAAAAGTCATAATATTCCAAACATGGGATCAAATATTTCAAATTTGTCTGGTTTCTTTGTTTCAAACTATTTAAATTTGTTATCCAGCTTTTTGTTATTTATTTATATTCTTTAAATTTTTTAAATTGTTCCTTATTTTTTTTTCCCCTTTATTCTGGAATGGATCACCCATCCAGTAGTTTTTCAAAGTTGTTCAGAAGATCTCTTTTAATTTTCAAATAGCTATGTTCCAAAACTGTTTAGAAAATGATTTTTTAATTAACCCATTGTTCATATAAGCTCTGCTGGGCTTGAGAGCTTGATGGATCTCCTCATCTCCTGATGAGCAAACTTATGAGTTGAACAATGTCCTATGGCCTTCTCATGAGGAGCAGCTGTCTTGAGTGCAAGTAGATGATTTCTCATCCTCTCCCTATCCAAAGAGGTTTTGCTGGATGAGACTTGTCACTAGTTATGCTCATTATATAGATAGTTAAATGTATTAATTGGTAGAGGGGGGTATAAAAATGTCAGCTGAGTTCTACTAGTGGATGGGATTCCAGTTTTAATTCTAAGTACTGCATGTACAAAATATTAACTGAGTTCTCGGTCATGATCTCAGTAAAATTAAGGGTATTTAAGAAAGTAATTAACTGAACTTTTTTAGCTTGATACAACTACTCTAAAAACAATTAAGTTATTCTTGTTCCTTTGTTGTCTTTTTTCGATCCTTAGTACTTAGTAGTTATATAGAAAGGGATCTGCCCCAACACAGTTTCTGAAGCTGAAGAAAAATAGATATTTCCTTGAAGGACTTGTTATCAAAAATCTCAGTTGCAAACCAATCTTTTCTTTTGGGGTGTGGGGGGGCTTTCCTGATGTACTGTACAATACTTCCCAGTTTCTCTAGCCATTCTAACTGATGACAATAGGAATTGCAATTTATCATATTTGAGAAGTGTCCATTGGGAAGATTTTGGTGAATCCTTTACTTTTAGCTAAGGAAAGCCATTGGCTCTTTGATTATATAACATCGTTTTGTAGCAAAAACCTGGAAAGCTCATATTTATGAGACAATGATATGCCCAGAAGAAAGACAACACTCCTTGCTTCGGTCCTTAGTTAATAGAGAAAACTATTCCCTGGATTCATTTGTTATATATATGTCCCTTCTTACAACTTTTATCAGCATCCGGTTACATTGCTGCTTGCTAGAATTTAAAAAAACAGATTTAAGAAAAGTTTTTTTGGCGAGGTAGGGTTAAAGCTGAATGTGGTTGTGGGTTTTTCAGTCATGTTCAGAAAGACAACAGTGTAACATGGGATAGGGTTTTTTCTTTCCTTTTGTTTGTGACAGTTATATCAGCAAGGAAAGTCCAGGCATGTTCAAACAGTACTTTAACCTTATTTTCATATTACTGCAGCCCAGAATAAACATCCAAGAGTGTTTCTGTGGACAGTGCTTCAGGCGATTGTTGTATGTTTTCCTCAGCCGCTCTCCCTTGGGTAGGACAGACAAGACAATGCGATTTTTCCCTCGAGCCATCATCTTAATTTTAGTAGGCTTTATTTCCCTGTTATGGTGGCACCATCATCTCTCTATCCCTCAGCAGCAAGGTAAGATACCACAACCCCCCTCCCTGATCTGAAAGCAACACTAAGCTGCCTTAACTAGCCAGAGACATGTGTTGAGAAAATATAGGTGGTGGAAGACACTTTCCTATGTTCTTAGAATCAAGGTATTTAATAGGTGTCTTGCAATAGAAGCCAAGGAAATTTTAATAAATTTATTAAAACAAATGTCAACCATCTCTAACAAGTATGGCTTAATTGAAGAAAAACTCCTTTAAATCTGCCATATTCTTTCTTTTTTATACAGACATACATATCCGTTACAATTCATTGCCAATGAATCCTGGCTCCATAGCAGAGGATTCATTTTAGTGACCTGGTAACATAGAACGAACAAATAATAGTGATAGAGTAACTTATCCTCCTCTTCCTTTTCAAATAGTATCTTAATAATATAAAAATGTAACTTTATTGATATAGTATAGCAGTAAAATAAACAAGCCCACTAGGTATTTATTTCAAGTGTTCATTATTTGATTGGCAACTGATAGTAGGAGAAAATATGCTCAACAACCTCCCTCCCAGCAAACTATTGTAGGGAAGGATAAACTTGTTAATATCTGGGGTTTGACATTATCGTATCAGGAAAGCAAATTGTTGAATGGGGTCTGCCTCACATGTTGCTTGGGTGGGGCCATGCAACATTTATGAGAGGAGGTGTGGGTTTGGGGTCTTTTTCTAGTTTGGTATAAGATCAGATTGTTTTGGAAAAAGCTATGTTAAGCCCATACCAGATCCTTTAAAACTATTTGTGTAAGTTTCTTGTCCCCCAAAAGTTAGGAAACAAAGTTATTGCTTACTCAGTGGCACAACTGGAGGAAACTAAAAAAAAAAAAAGAAAGGGGGGAGCTTGTAGTCATAAGTATCTCTGTGGCCAAAAGGCCCTTATTAGAACTAAAGGCACAAATGTTATCAAGCAGCTGATGCTACACATACTTGAATAGCTTTCCCCATCCTATGTTTACAGACCATTTGACCAACGAAGAGGAGATGGATGTACCCCGCACATTTGATGCTCTGCTACATATTCAGCAGGTCAGAAAAAAGACATTGCGGTCTTTCTGCAGGAAAAAGAGCAAACTCACTAAGCTTCCAGCTATCCAAAAGGAAGCTTCCCAACTACTCTCTTCTATTGCAGTGAATCACAACCTTAATTTCCTATATTGCAAAATACCAGCCACCGGAGTGGAAGAGTGGGAGAAGCTGTTGGAAGTGATATTGGAGAATGAAAATGTCACATTGCAGGCACCTGTGCCCTATCACCAGGACTTTGGTAACAAAATGGCCTTGAGTAAATACAATTTGACATCAATGGAAACTCTGCTTAAAGCCTACACAAAAGTGGTTTTCATTAGGGATCCTTTCCATAGACTCATGTCTGCTTACATGCATCGATTGGCAGACAATCAAACCTTCAAAGAGTTCATTGACTATATCTTGTACAGTGGATTGAAGAATGCCAGTGTTGAGTGGACACCCTTAGTCAAGCTGTGTCATCCATGTCTTGTTCAATATGACTATATCATAATGTTTGGTTTTCTTGGCAATGAAGTACACCATTTAATGCTCCGGACTGGATTTTCAGATAACATCCAGATGCCCAAGTTCATGGACTCCAAGATCCAGAGGACATATAACTGGCTGGAAGAACAGATGTTTAGTGAATTATCCCTTATGCAGAAGAAAAGTCTTTGCCATTTCTTTCGATTTGACTTTGCTGCATTTGCTTTTCCCAGAAGTTTGCTCTGGGACCTCATATGCATTTCTGGAAACAGGATAGAATAGAATAACAACATTGGAAGGGACCTTGGAGGTCTTTGTTGAGGTAATTCCCTGTTAGGAGAATGAGCGCATACAGGGAGACGTAAAGAGAGCAGTGTTGGAATAATACACACAGAGCACACAGATACACTGTACAGTAAATGTAGGTTTTTACTTCCAGAAAGGTTTAAGCAAAGTCCAAAATAAGCAGTCCAAAATCATTCACAGGTAAATCAGTCAGTTTTTTCAATTCAGGGATAATTCAATAACAAATTCCAGTGTCAAAAACAGTTCAGTATCAGACTTACATCAAATCCAGTAATATCAGTCAATTAGGAAAAATGGAGGAACGGCAATACTTTCCAACAGAAGGAAACAGAGATACTCACTCAGACACATGCTCTTCTGAGACTAAGACTAAACAACCGAGGTTTCTGGCTCCATCTTATGGCCGTTTGAGAAACCACACCCAATTGCATGCTCTTGCATTCCCTTAAAGATATAGTACTAAAATGTTTATCCTGGTTTATATATTTCTAACCCAAATACCTGTTAGGTGACTTATATTCCTCACATTCTCCCCTTTTGGGTAAGATAATATATACAACCTTACATTCTAAGTCCATAATCTTCACAGCACGCCTTATAGAGCCTTGGGCCTTTGTAAAATGATCTGCTATATTGTTTTCTGACATACAGTATTCTAGCTTAATCATCTTACTTTGCACACATTGTCTCACATTTAAATATCTTAAATCTATGTGTTTCGTTCTTGTTTTAACAGCAATATTTGAAGCCATCTGTATTGCTGATTGGTTGTCTTCATAAATAACAATAGAATCTGTTACATTAATTCCCATATCAATTAATAATTGCTTATACAAAACTAAATCTGTACATAATAAAGACAAACGTGAGAATTCAGCCTCCATTGTTGACAAACTTAAATGTTTCTGTCTAATAGATCTCCATCCAGTCAATGCTTTTCCCAATAATACAGCAGTAGCCGATATAGATTTTTGTGTATTTATGTCTGTAGCAAAACTTGCATCAGCATATGCAGTTAAATTCAGTTCATCTTTTGGCTCCAAATACAATGCATAATGCATTGTCTGTTTCAGATAAACACACATTTAGCAGCTTGCCAATGCCTTTCAGTTGGCTCAGCGTTAAATCTTGCTAATTAATTAACACAGTATGCAATATCTGGCCTTGACCAATTATTGAGATAAGATAAACTACCAATCAAAGACTGATAAATGTTCTTATAAAAAACAGGACTTTGTACATCACTATGGCTAAACTCCTGACTCATTGGTGTTTTAGCCGGTTTACAAAGTTCCATTTTAAAACTTTTTAGTAATTGGTTAATTTTATCTGTCTGTGAGATCTTGTATCTTCCCCTAGTTCTATCTATCTTTAAACCAAGATATTGTTTGATTTCTCCTAATCGTTTTATCTTAAATTTCTTTTTCAATAGTGAAATTATCTCAGTAGCTTCTTGTTCAGTTTTGGTGATTAATGCTATGTCACATAAATAATCGTAAATAATAACAATAATGAAATTGCACCATTATTTTCTCTTTTAAACAAACATGGATCAGCCATGCCAGCTACAAAACCTATCTTAGTTAATTCTTTAACTATACATTGGTTCCACTCATATCCTGATTGCTTCAAACCACAAACCATCAATTTCCAGCAATCATTATTATCAGTATTATCATTTTTGAGACCTAAAGGTTTATTTAAATATATAGTGTGTTGCAATGGTGCATGCAGATATGCTGTCTCTACATCCAAATGATTTACAATGTATTTCTCTTTAGCTGCCCACACTAATGCTGCCCTTAATGTAGTAGCCTTCAGACTAGGTGCAAACACCTCATCGTAGTCATTTGCTGTCTGATTGAACCCTTGTGCTACTAACCTGGCTTTATGGGTAACAGTCCCATCTGTCTTAAGCTTATATATCCATTTATATTCTATGGCATGTTTACCTGATGGTAACTTAACATTTTTGAATACCTCCAGTCTTTTTAATGATTCCAGTTCCTTATCAATTGCTTTCTGCCAAGCAGCCTGATCCTTAGCAGGATACAGTTTCAGTTCACTATAATTACTTGGAACTGTACTCACATGGCATACAACACTAGCCTGATATCTATCAGGTGGTCGTGTTACATGGGTTGTATCTTGGTAATACAGGGCTTACTGGTGGACTTTCTTGTGCCACCAGCTCCTGTTCTTCTATTTCTTCCTGTGCCTGTTCTCCTACTTCTTCCTGTTCTTCCTCTTCAATAGCTATTTGTTGTTTACTGATATCATCTTTAGGGACTATTTGGATGTCAATAATAATATCATTGCTGGATTCCTGTTCCAGTTTATCCCACCCAACATGCTCGAGAAATTTTGCACTAGCACTATAATAAACATGAGCTGTGCCTTGATCCCAGAATCTAAATGATCTATGGTTGGCCTCATAACCCACAAAAAATAATTTCTTAGCTCTATTTTGCCCTTTCAGTCTTACTTGTGAGGGAATATGCACCCATGCTGAAGCTCCAAATGTACGTAGGTAACTTAAATTTGGTTTTCTGCCATGCCAATGAGTGAATGGCAATTCACCAGTTGTTGTATTAACTACATTGTTCAAAACATGGTTACTACACATTATGGCCTCACCCCAAAGTGTTTCAGGTAAACCTGAATCAGATAACATAGTGCGAGCCATGGCTGGTAATGTTTGCCCTCTTCATTCTACAAACGAGTTATGTTGTGGTCTGTAAGGTGCAGAATGTTTATGCTCAACACCAGCCAATTTTAGCATAGTTTGGAATCTTTTGTTAACAAATTCAGTCCCATTATCAGTTACTAAAGTAATTACTTTACTTTTCATTTTTCTCTCAGCAAACTTTAGCCAGTTAAAGAAATGTTGGAATGTTTCTGTTTTGTTTTTCATAAGATAGCAGAAACCGTATCGTGAGTAATGGTCCATAATACTCAAAATATAACAGGCACCTCCTAAACTTGGTTTGTTAGGACCAATTATGTCAGCAAAAACAACCTCTAAAGGTTCTTTAGTCTTAAACCCATTTAGTCTGTTTGCAGGGGTAACCTTACTCTTTTCTTGACTACAAGCATTACAGTGTAAATACTTGCTACAAGGTTTCAATTTTACTCCCTCTGACAATTCAACAATTTGTTTGAGCATTTTGAAATTAATGTGCCCTAGACGTCTATGTAGTAAATGTATATATTCATCATGTGGCTTAACATTGTTATAAACTGAGTTAGCTGACCATCAGCTGATCAACTGATCATCATGTATTACATATAAATCATTCTTTAATGTAGCAGTGACACTTTTACCCTCTTTCTCTATTATACAGTTATCTCCCCTAAAGTTTATTACATAACCAAGATTAACTAAAGCCCTTACTGATAACAAATTAAATTTCAGTTTAGGTACATATAACATAGTTAAATGTTCATTTATACAAGAACAATATGCAGTACCTTCACCTGATGCTTTAATCTTCCATCCATTTGCCAATGATACATGTTGTGTACTCGTGGACATCTTTACAAACCTGTTTCCATCCTTAGTAATACATTGTGATGCTCCACTATCAACAACCCACAAATCATGGTTTACAGTTGAATTGCTAGACATAGCTAAACTAACATTCTTTTCGGCCTGCTGGTGTTTGCCAGTATTCTGTCCTTTTCTTTTCTTACAGAATCTAGCTATATGTCCGCTAGCCCCACAAGAAAAACATTTCCTAACAGTATAGGCAATTGAAGATAAATCCTCTTCTTGTGGTTATTCCTTCCTCATTTGGTCCCTATCCAGCCGTCTTCTTGCTTCTTCTTACAACCTTCCACTTATGTCAGTCAATGTCAGTTTATCTCTGGGCAGTAATTCCAGTGAAGATACATAATCATCATAACTTTCATCCAATGAGGAAAGAATGATGTAAACTTGATGCAGCTCTGAAAATATCAGTTCTTTTTCATGTAGCTCTTGAAAAATTCTTTTCATGAAGTTTAAATGAGCTAACATATCTCCACCTTTCAGAAGACGTGCTCTAAAAGTTTACGTGTAAGATGTGTGTGTGCACCTACACTGTCACGAACATAAATCCTCTTCAAATTCCCCCAACACCTAGCAGCAGACTCTTCTCTATGAATATGGACTAGCTGCTGGTCACTCAGTGTTAGTCCAATTATACAAAGAGCTTGTTCATTGTTCTGGTTAAAGTCAGCAAGCTTCCTGGCATCATCCTCATTAGCTGGATCCCAAGCATTTACATCCGGTGGGTCTTGAACTACATTCCATAAACCTTCTTTACGCAGAAGTAGACTGCACTTCATAGACCAGGAAACATAGTTTGTTCCATCCAACTGGGTTATCAGTGATAGACATGTTGAAGTGACTTGTGCTATCTTTATCAGGATAGTAACCCACAATAATACTGTTAATAATACTGTTTACCCAACAGTAAACAGCTGTCTGTATACAGTACTGTGCATTCACACTAACTCTCAGTTATCTGAGCCTGGTATGGCCTGAGCCCATAACCAGTGTTGAGGTAATTCCCCGTTAGGAGAATGAGCGCATACAGGGAGACGTATAGAGAGTAGTGTTGGAATAATACACACAGAGCACACAGATACACTGTACAGTAAATGTAGGTTTTTACTTCCAGAAAGGTTTAAGCAAAGTCCAAAATAAGCAGTCCAAAATCATTCACAGGTAAATCAGTCAGTTTTTTCAATCCAGGGATAATTCAATAACAAATTCCAGTGTCAAAAACAGTTCAGTATCAGACTTACATCAAATCCAGTAATATCAGTCAATTAGGAAAAATGGAGGAACGGCAATACTTTCCAACACAAGGAAACAGAGATACTCAGACACACGCTCTTCTGAGACTAAGACTAAACTACCCAGATTTCTGGCTCCATCTTATGGCTGTTTGAGAAACCACACCCAATTGCATGCTCTTGCATTCCCTTAAAGATATAGTACTAAAATGTTTGTCCTGGTTTATATATTTCTAACCCAAATACCTGTTAGGTGACTTATATTCCTAACAGTCTTCCAGTCCAACCCCCTGCCTTGGCAGGAAACCCTACACCATCTCAGACAAATGGTTATCCAACATCTTTTTAAAAACTTCTAGTGTTGCAGCATTCACAACTTCCGGATTACTTTAGACATCAAAGAAGAATGCACAGAACTGGACTGAAGTGAAATCTCAGACTTTTACAGAATGGGGACCTACACTGGTAGCCTTGACATCTAGTGGAAGCAAATTCTATAATGTAATTATGTGCTTTGCAAAGAAATAGTTCCTGTTATTGGTCCCAAATATTCTGGAATTGTTTATAGTCCATTTTTTAAATTTTATGCTCCTTAATAATCTGCAAATAATCAAAAGCATTGTCTGGATATAAAGCTTTGGGGAAATTCTACTGTTCACATTCTCCCATAACAATGGGATCTATATTCTACTTGGATGCCAGTTGACATGGTTCATGAACCTTTGGGAGATAAATTTTGTGAAAGCATTTTAAAGTCCAAGTATATAATAACCATCATATAGGTCATGTCTACTTATGTAAAGTTCTCCATTTTTTGCCTTGGGGGGCACATTAGGGTTTGGAGACTGTCTAAAATGAAGCTCTTGCCAAATGGCTACTCTAGAAGATATAATGAACTGCAAAGCACACCCTGATCTTCAAATAGGTGCTGGGTTTTATCAAAGTATTTTAAATTAGTTTGCTCAGCAATAGTGTTGCAGGGGAGTCTGCAGCACATTTGTACTACTGTTATTAATGGCATTTCATTCAAGGAAAACCAATCTGGTGAAATGAAGAGCAAGTTTGTAACTCAACATCTCAAGAATGCCAAGTTGAAATGCCACCATGTTTTCATGTTAACATAATCATTTCATGACTTTTTTTTTTCAGGTTGGGTAACGAGACCAGAAGCATCCACAAGAGCAGGGGTGTCAAACTTGCGTCATCATGGCGGCATCATGTGACATATCATGATTTTTTTTTCCTTCACTAAACCAGGCGAGGGCATGGCCAGCGTGTGAGGGCCACAAGTTTGCAGGCCACAAGTTTGACAGCCCAGGACCAAAGGCTCTAGATTTTAATTGCTTGAAAAAGGTTTTGAATAAAAGGAATGATGCACTTATGGTGTGTTGCATTGTTTTCCATTCAATCTTTTGAATGACCTTTTGAATTCTGTGTTTTCCACATTATTCTTTTTCTTTCTGCAATATGGAGTTATATTCATACATTCCTGCCTGAACTATCCATAGGTGATATAAAAATTAGAAACACTTTAAATTTTACTTTTGTAGCTATCAAAATTACTGTTGTGGCAGGACAGCTTTCAGCATAGTACCAATATATTACCAGTTCTGGTGAACTTTGGGACTCATTACAGTTCGTGAAAATTATTCGTATATGACTGGATGATTTAGTGGTGGTATATTGGTTTTTAAGAAGAGATTGGCCATTTGAACAAGTGATTGGAAGACCTCCAAGGTCATTCCAACTCTCTTATTCTGTATTCTATTATGTATAAATTAATGGTCCATATTTGATCTCTACATTTTGGCCATATCTAAGAAATACAGCTGAGATTGGAATTGTGTATAGAATACAACATTTGATTCCCAGTGACTGTAATTCCTTTAGGCCAGGGGTGTCAAACTCAATTTCATTGAGGGCCGCATCAGGGTTGTGTTTGACCTCAGTGGGGCTGCAGGGTGTGGCCAAGATAGGCGTGGTCAGTTTGACATGTGTTTTTGGTCACAATGGCATCCTGCAGCCTTCTGCCAGTGAAAACAGAACTCAGGGCAGTGTGTGCCTCCCTGAGTTCTGTTTTCAATCACAACGGCCTCCTGCAGCCCTCTGCCAGGGAAAACAGAGCTTGGAGAGGGTTGCAGGTCTCCCAAGTTCCATTTTTACTGGCAGAGGCATCATGATCCAGTCCGTTGCTGTTTCCAGGGCAACCCTGTGGGCCAGATGTAAGCAACCCACAGGCCAGATCCAGACTACAGGTGTTATGCCCCTGTTGGAATCTGATTCTGAGGGGAAGGTCGAGCAGCTGACAGGGAGTGGGAGTGAGGCTCCAGTGGCTGTGGAAGAAACTAGAGAAGGGCACAGTCTGGCTGGGCACCCCCTCTTCATCCTAGGGCACGCAGGGAGAAATGGAGAAGGGAACAATGTGAGTTATGTGGTTTATGGGGAAGGAAAGAGCTCTGGTCCCTTTCATTAGCTACAGCTAGGAAATCTGTTTAAAAAGGCAAATTATGCACAGCAAAGTTGATGGAAGCAAAGCGTGAATTATCTTTGTTTGTCAAGGCTTATCTGGGTTCTGGCATCCTCCCAACTGTGTGTGGGGGTTTGAGGGGCAGAGGCCCATTGGCCAGAGTGAATAAAGCTGGCTATAAATGGGTGGAGGCAGGAGGCTGGAGGTGAAGGAGGTGCAGTCAAGGGTAGGAGTCTGAAAGTCCCATTCCAAACCAGAAACTGCATCCCAAGAGTCCAAGACAAAATCAGGATCTTTGAATGATACCATTACCTGGTTTCTGAATATTTGGAAGTGAGTTTGTAGTATCTGACATTGATTCTAGGATTCTAAGATCCTAAAAGAATGTAAGGAGCTATATAGCACAAAGAGTACAATGGGATTTGATGTGGGAGAAATGCCCAATAGTTATATGGTAAACTAGATGGCTTTTAAACACTTCAGATATATTATGAACTAATTCATCTTCAGGAAGGAAGTCCAGTCAGTTCACCTATACATTTCTCTTCCTGAAATGGAACTAGTATCATCAACTTGTTCAGTATTCTTCCCATTTCTCTAATATTTTAGAGCTCCTTAACTTATCTATAGAAAATATGTTTATTGTACAATGTTTTTTATTTGTTTTTATTTGTTTTAAAATTTATGGATTTTGGACATATTCACCATGAGTACAAAATGCAATAATAATAACCCTAGCCTACAGACAAAAGTATTGTAGCATAGAATGGATAAAAGGGAGAAAATCAATATCCATGTAGTGGAGTGTTTGGTTAAATAAACACTGCACTGAACAAACACCAAACACTGCACTGAACAAACACTATAGGGCAAAATATGGGAAGACGGTCTTCCCTAATATGTCTCCTCAAATTGTGCTTTTGTGAAATCCCACAATCCTCAGTTTAGCCAAATTAAACTGGTGATAATGTTCCAAAAGTTGTGAGAAAAACAGCTTTCTATATAGGTTACTGATATCCTGTTTATGTCAACTGAAAAGTAAGCCCCACCAAGTTCAATAATCCCATGGATTTGGGTATTGGATCATTATATGCCTCGCATCTCCTCCTTGGGGTGATTGCCTCACTCTGACTAAGGGAATAATACTGATTTTACTCTAGCAAATTTGAAAAAACAGGAAGCTGAAAACAGAGGTCAAAAGTGCCTTTGTTAGCCATTAAACTACCCCTCTCATCCTTAGTACACCAAAGAAAAATGAAACAGTGGCCTCTCCTCACTGTCTTACCATCTTCAATGATCCATCCAAAAGATTAAGAAGAAATTAAATGTGGTGATGATGATTAATTGGTTGCATCAAATCAGCCAAAGATGCATTTTTGAGGCTGGATAGCATGATTGCACTTGAAAAGTAAACATATACATAGTGTTTCCATGATCTTCACTGCAAGCTTAAAGGAACCATTGCAAACTTTCTCTTCACAAAGAAAAGAAAAGTAATTTTCTCTCTCTCCCTTTGTTATATATCACATCTGCAATAATTTATCAACAACAACATTTTTTTATCAACTGATGCTTCCATAATTAAATTATAAAGCTTTCTCAATCAATAAGGTAGACACGGAATACAGTTCTGATTTCAGTTTAGAGGTACTGCTTTGTTTGGTCGCTGGAGAAAAACCTATTTTAATAAGTGGAGCTAATTTCTAGAGACGTCTTCATTCACACGACCACAGACCATGGTTTGAAAGTTCCTGGTACAGCAGGTGGACACTAAAAGAAAAAAATGGGATGAAAACATTATAGATGCTTCAACTTTTTGCATTTCCAAGTAGGGCTGAAAATAGTTTCTGCTTGAAGTCCTGAAATCCTGAATCAATAATGCTGGACTTCATGGATCAAGAGTCATTTAAGGATGACAAAAGATGTTAATTTTGTTTTCTCTTAATAATTTCTGCAGCTATATTGAATTCAATTCATCAATCGTGAAACCTTTTTTAAAAAAAGTTGAACTGACAATTGCATGAATTTAGGAATACATTTCTCCAAACATATGCAGGTTGTTGTTGTAGGTTTTTTGCAATTGTTTCCAATGTTTAAACATTTTGCAAATAATTTTGGTAATAAAATATATCATGCTGCATTATTTTCATTAATATCTGTATTTTGATGGACTTTTACTTAATGTACTTGCCTGCATGGGCAAACTTCTAAAAGACTCTTGTTTTAGAAAAGGTGTACTTTAGTGTACCAGCTAAAAGACTAAGGTTCAGGTCAGAAATCTTTGTTCAAATCTTGCTTCTCCCATGGACTCACAAGGAAATCTAGTTTGCTGTGAAGATTTCAAGATCATACATTTTGAATCCTTGAAAAACACTATAAAATTGTTAAATGCTGTGATTACCAAGTATTTGGGAAAGCCTTTACCAATTCAAAGCAGGGTCCTGGTTCATGTTGATCTAATGCTTAAATAATTATACTTGCAGAAGACAATAGGAGGCAAATTAACTTACCAATTTGGTGAAGGAATCAACACAAGCATTGCGTATTCTTTCTGGAGTAGCTGGACTATCTAATCTGAATGTTCCTTTCAATCCAGATTCTTCCCTTGCAGAGAGAATTGCATCTTTGATAGCATAAAATACTGAGGCTGCTAAGAACAATGGAGGCTCACCCACAGCCTATGGAGATGAAAAGGCAAAAGGCCATGCAATCTTCCATCAAAAACTTATTCTCAGCATATAATTATATCACATATAATGCACTGGTTCACAATTTCACTGTGGAATTACTATGTACAGTGATGGAAAAATGTATCTTTTGTGCATAATTTGTATGTTGTATTCAATGTTATGCTTTCTAATTTGACATCAAAAGCTCAGAAGAAATATGGTCCTTGACCATATCAAACGAGTTTCTTAATAGGACTCAAGACAGCACTTCCTTCTTTTGATTGTCTTCCTTTCACCCAGGCTTTAGTGCTGGACATTAGTCCTATTCAAGTTTATGTTCTTGTCATAAGAAGAATCATGTGAGAATAAGTATGGGGTCATGCTCATGAATTCATTTCCCTCCCAAGACAATTCTAGTCTGAATCTAATGTCTTACATCCATATGTTATACTGTATATATTGGGAGGTGTGTGTCTGTAGAAGAAATCCTGCTTTACTCATATAGACGCCAATTCTGATCATTCATGAAGCTACATTTCCTGGGAATGTATACTACTACAGCAAATTCTCTGCTTTCAAAGTTTTTTCCCAACATGTAATGAATCATCACAATCAAATAACTCCAATATGAGGCAACAATGAGTCTACTTTCACTTTTATAGGTTCCCCAATTGTGTAAGAAGAAGACAAATATATCTGTCTGTTAGGGAATAACTCTGAGTACATCCAGGACCAATAAGCAGTGGCATTATTGATCTTGTATAATGTTTAATTAGAGAAATTAGGTTTGTCGAACACATTAGGGTAAGCTCAAATGGAATTGTATGTGGTTCAGCATGTTGTGTGAACCTGTTCATCATATTAAGCCATAGTATTGTTTAGCTGCTATTTATAGTATTTTGTTAAGCTACATTTAGGATTTAAAATAGTCTGTACATTTGGCCAAAGAGTACTTAATTAGTGAAGAAACATTTGCAATATAATAAACTTTCTATAACCAGTAACCCAAGTAAACAAAATGAGCAATTCCAGATCATCCTATAGTAAGTTCATTTAAAATGTTTTAAGGTAAGGCAGGATACTATAGAAGAGATAAATGGAGTTGTTAAAACATAATATTTATATTTCTCAGTGTAGTAGTACGAAAATCATTATGCTCTGATGCTCCCGCTAATAAGTTCTGATTTAGCACTGGCCTGTTCTATAAATACAACACTGTTTTAGAATGGTGGATAGAAAGAAAAAAAAGTGGGGGAAAAACAATCATAAAAGGAAAGGGAGAAAGAAAGATATTCTTAAATAGAACATAGAATTAATTCAGTGGTATTCATCACCTAAAATATATTTGATTGTATTCTGGTTACTTACTAAGGCAATCAAAGCAAGATCCCATGTTGCTAATTGTTATGAAATATATGAAGTACGGGAGATATGAGAACAATGTTCTGCCTCACATATGTGCTTAATAAGTTAATATGTTAATTAACAAATGGAGAAATGTATTTCCCAGTGAGATATTTACCTTAGATGAATAAATGGCTTTGCTGTTTGGACAATCCCGGAGAAGAGAAACATGGAACTCTGATGGAATGTCCCCAAATGCAGGGATCTTGTACATTCCAGGCCCTCGCGTATACAAGTTGCCTTCAGGGGAATAGCGTAGCTCCTCCATGGTAAACAGCCCAATTCCTTGGACAAAGGCTCCTTCAATCTGGAAAAATAAATAAATCAAATCCAAATTTGTTCTTTTCCTTTCTCTTTGGTAACAGTTGAAAAATAAAATGGAAAGATTTCAGAACCAAATATGGCACAGGTTTCTGCAAACATGCTTAGGTCATCTTTCTAAATGCTTAACTATGACTGCAATCCTATTCCCATGTTCTTGGGAATAGGACCCACTGGGTTCATTAACACTGTGTGTAAACCTTACCATCAAACTAAGAAAACTGCTCAGTTCAAAGACTTCGGAGCTAGACTGCAATTATTTAGCAATTAAGAAAAATTTAGCGATTAAGAAAAACACTGTTTGCAGACATTTATATAAATTGCATTACATGACTGTTGCTTAAATTAGTGGCAAAGCAACTAATAAAATTATAACAAATATATTGCTTTACCATCTGTTGTAAGCAATGGTTTAAAGTATATGCTTGCTAATGCATTTGGACATTGTACTGAATTGCATTAGCAATAAATGCCAAACTTTAATGGTCCTCCTCTCAGGGAGGGCCACGAAAGGAAGCTCTCATTGGTCTCATTCAGATGCTGACTCTGAAGTGCTTTTTCAGAAAGATATTCAAATAACTCCCCTTCACTCCTCCCCCTGTCCTTTATTATGGTAAGATTGGCCTCTGTCCAGTTATCTACATGCTCCAAGGAAGTCTGTTTTGCTGGAAGCTTTTTCAAATGCAGAGTAAATGTGGCTCAAACACATTTCATTTTCAATGCATATACATTCCTCCTACAGACATTAACAATGAACTTGTGAATATTACAAGGAAACTTATTATTTGAATAATGTTAGCAGAAAAGATGATTTATCAGATGACATGCATGGTGAATGATTCAATTCAAGTGACACCTGAATGGGGCTTGTTTCCAAACTTCAAAATGTAGCTATTCTGAGTAATTGTAGTTATGTAGAAAACTGAATCAGGTTCATAAATTTTGAAGGTGGCTTGTTTCCCAAAACCATAGATAATATGCATCAAAACCTGTGATCTTTTGTAGAGACAGATGAAGTTCATGAGGGGCCAAAGGCCTCATTGCTAATATTAGACCCAAAAATGGTTCGTGTCATATTGTAGATGAAAAAAGCAATGTTAATGTGTAGTTAAAAACATGAAACATAAATATGAAAGTCCTTGTGAACAATGCTTATTTACAAGAAAAACATTTGCAGATAGGGTTCGGAGTTCACCTAATATAATAAATGTAAAAAAGTTAAATATTAACCAGTTCCAGTTTTAATATTACCACATATTGAAGATTTGCCAGCTCAAATATGTATATATTCAACTAGGTTATATGTCTAAATCAGTGGTCCTCAACCTTTCTGTCTTGGAGAACCAGCGGGGGGAGTGAGAGGGGATGGTTCAATGTGAGTAGCAGGCGAGCACACCTGTCACTCTTGAGCAAATGGAGCTTTACATGTGAGCACCCACCAGTCATGAGAGTGGAGCTGTGTGTGTGTGTGTGTGCACGTTTGCACTCCCCACTTGCATGGCTCTGTTCCAAATGGGCCACAGCCAGTAGTTGGCCACAGCCTGAGGGTTGAGGACCCTGGTCTAAATAAACGGTTTGTGGCATGATATTTAGTTGGTAGCACAGGAAGCCTCCTAGTTGGCTACATATCTGAATTTAGTAATTTAGGTGAATTGCAACACAGGTTAAAACAGAAAGTTCAATTTCTCCAAAACATGTGAGCATTTTCTGAAATGAATCTACACTGTAATGAAGAAACCATTTTCCTTTTTCCACCTGGCATAAAGATATGCATCATGTGCAAAATACTTGAACACAAACTGATAATAAATTAGCAATTAAGTTTCTTGTGTTAAAAGAGTTCATAGTACTGCTGCCTTTTGCTGATTATTAACCAATTTAATCTGTCTGTTTGTACACACATTTATTTCAGCTTAACAGAGTACAGACAACTTGCACTGCTTACCTGCCCTATATCTATAGCTGGATTCAGGCTGGTGCCAACATCCATCACAATATCAGTGCGAAGATTCTAAATATTGAAACAAGTAAAGCCTGAGTAAACACAAGACTAACCACATACTATTAGCTAAATATGCGTATTATTTGACTTGATGTTTTTATTCGTTTGTTTCATGGAAGGGCAAGCTTTTCATCTGAGCTGGAACTATCCAGGTCAAAATTCAGCCTAGATATTGATGTTGACAAGATAACTCTCAGTGTGACTTTAAGATCCCAATCTCAGTGCAATGCAATACTTGATGATTGAAAAAATTATCCTAATTATAGAATTAATTGCTTAAAGATGCAGCTCTTTGGAGTCAAATATCAGGATGGCCTTCTCATTTGTGGAAATCTAACATCACTATGAAATTAATGATTAAAACAAAATTAAAGAAATAGATTATAGAAGTTCCACCACAAATTTGGAAAAGTTTTACCACTTTCATACCGAGATGAATCTACCAAAAGCAAAATACACCAAGTGATTTTTTTTTTAAAAAACAATAACTATATAACCTTAGAGCAAAAGATTTACTGAAGTTCACACAATCTAAAGACAAAAACAACTTACCCGTTAAATTCATTCCTAATTATTGTAAAATGTCCTTCTATACATCAAAATGATGAAGTGCTTTTAACTGTTTAGTAAATCTGCTTACCTTATGGTCACCAGTCAAACAATCTATCTCAACCTCAGAACAAGAAACACCATAGGAGTAGTAACTGAAAGGATTTCCTTTATTCTTTGAGAAGTCATACCCAACATTAGGAATGCTTAACAAAAAGGGAACAAAAGGAGGAAAATATAAAATCATCAGCAAGATTATAAGATTACAAGGCAATGCACAAATGTATGGATGCGACCAAAGCAAGATTGGTTTGCAAGAATAAAAAGAGATGGAGAAATATAGCATACAGTTGGGAGTAAACTAGATTGGCTAAATTTCATTTTATTTTGCTCATGATAACTTTGGTCTCTTGTCCTACAATTTCTTTCTTTCTTTCTTTTTTTGCACATCGTTACTTACCCTAAAAGGAAATTGTATGAAGGATGAGTTTGTATGCATGTACAGATTTTATTATCATTACAGGAAAATCACTAATATTGATTTCATCCAATGTTGTTAGGTTATATGAAAGTTACTAGAGTAAAGCAATACAGGAGATTCTGAAGATCCAACCATGATTCTTATTAATCAGTATTATCAAGGGGACTGAAAACAAGAAATTTGCACTTCAAACCTGGTCCCCAAAATCTGGAGGTCACATTGAGGGCCGGCATAGAATTATTTCAGTTACTCCATGCATTCATTCCATTTCTTTATTACAGCATTCTTCCGCGTCTCCCACTGGCACTCAGCCAGAACAACGTTTAGCTGTTCTCTCTAATTCTTATGCATTATTTAGAGCAAATATCATGACTCAAGTAAAAAATGCAATCTGGGATTTCAAGAATAAGTGGAGTTAACAAGCTTATTATGTTAGTAGAATGTGGACAAGAGACAACTCTGTCTCATCTTCTTTATTATAAGCCCCTTTTATGAAATGAGCTTCTACCTAAATCCTCAACAGCAGAAATAATACCCAAATGCCAAACCTTATGACATTCTGCAGATCTTCTCTCAGATAGTTTCACTCACCTAAAAAATCCTGTAGCTGATAAACTCACACAATCCTGATAGGCTGCTAACACCTAGTGAAAGACACATGTAAAATTTCGTTAAGCTTTTCTCAAACTGAAATAATGGTAATATCTTGGGGAGAATGAAAGTGTTTCATTGAGTAACACAAGTATTCATAAGAAAAACATCATCAAGAAAACATTAAACAAAAACCAAAGAACTCATAAGGTTCAACTTTACAACCATAATAGACCTTTGCCTGAGATCAACATAGAGCAAAGAGTGCTCTATGTGAGAGTGCAATATTCTGAGGGTTGTACACAATTACCTTCCAGTTATTACTTATCTCCAATTCCAAATAGCTGCAATGAATGTGGGAAAATGCTGGGAACTGTAATTCAACAGCATCTGAAAGACTACAAGTCTACATCTTCCAACATATCTCTTTACCTAGAAGGGTGTCCCATAGAACTAAATGGAATTTCCTTCTGAATAGAAATGTACAGGAGTGCATTGCTAAATATTAAAATGGCTTATTTGTATTTTTATATTTGCCAACTCAAAACCGTGGGCAGACTTGTTCTGCATTGATATTTTTATATGCTTTAGAGTTTAGACCAAATAGATGGCAACATCAAACTAAACATGGCTGATGTAATCAACACGTGGATGGGGAATCATTTGTAAAGTCCAGAGATACAGGCTAGGCTGGAGTGGGGGGATTTATTTATTTATTTTTAATTTTTGTTTACCACCCATATCACTGAAAAGCAGTGGGAAACTGTTTCCATATCAATCAAGGAACCTGCATGGTATTAAGCTTGGTTAGAAGGCAACCTTACCATCCTGTAACGCTTTAAAAGAAAGATTATCCAACCTTGAAAAAAAAGACACAACGCAAAAACCTGAACATCCAATAGCTACAAACCACATCTCTACCCAACAACCACAACCCAATCCACAAAAAAACATAAGCCAGACAAATAATGATATTCCAATCCTCATCAGAGAAGCTGTTGAGTGTGAATGGAAACGTCCAAACACGATCTTATTTGGTCTAGAGGACATCAATGACAATGATGACATCACAACTGTCCGAAACATCATCAGTGATTATCAAGCATCAACCATCTCACCTGATGAAATACTTGACATTTCCCACATTGGCCGAGAGCTCAAAAACAGAGACGGCTCTGTGGCCCCACGCTTCTGCAGGGTCATTTGCAAAAATGAATCAAACAAATGTAAACTCATTTATACTATAAATTCACTTGCCAAAAGCAACACCAACCATAAGAGCCTCTGTTCTTGCCCTGACCTAACAATACAGCAACATGCCCACTCCCGTGTACTCCGCACTGAACTCAAAAAATGTCTAGACAACAGAGAGAAGGACCTGTACATTGACTACCATGCTGACTATATCAAAAGTAAGTCACACAACCCACAACTCAGCTTTAACCTTCAAGCACAACCCCACCTCAACCAATCCACCATCACCCAAGACTAGGCATGCACGCCCCTAACTACTTCAATTCTAACTACTGCTGGCCTTAAATGCAAGCTACTCAATGCAAGAAGCCTTGTGAATAAAATACCTGAATTTCTCCTCTTACTAAATATGGCTAAATTTGACATCAAATTTGCCTGTGAAACATGGCTCAATGCATCTCTCCCTGACTCCATTACCACAATAAGAGACTATCATGTTTACCAATCAGATCGTGAAATTCGTAGAGGAGGTGGTGTTTCTATCTTCTATAAAAAGTCCTTACATCTAAAAAACATCCAAGTTATCCAGGAGCTTGCTCTTCCTGAGACCATCATCTGAGAACTATCCTTAAATATCACATTTCGATTCTTACTATGTTACAGAGCACCTGATTATGACATTGAACATGTAAACAAGCTAAATTCACTACTAACATGGGCAACATCCTGCCCACACATTTTTATCTTTCTTGGTGACTTCAATCTACGTCATATTAACTGGACCCTAAACAAATGTACAACTGAACCCATACATGCAACCTTCTACAATGCTGTTACAAATCTGGGACTGGAACAACTAGTAATGAACAATACTAGACTTAACAACTGCCTCGATCTCATCTTCTGCAATAGTTTGAATTTAATTTACGGAATACAAACTAAAGAACCCTTTTCCAATAGTGACCACAATATGATTGACTTTTGTCTCAACATACACCCACACAAAAATCATCATAATAACGTAATCCACAATTATAACTTCAAAAAGGCAACCACGATCTTATAGACAATGATCTCTCATCCCTTGATTGGCAATCTCTATTCAATCTCTATGGATGCAATACTGTTGAAGACTATTACAACATATTTTTACTTGAAGTCAAAAGAGTCATCAAACTATATGTACCAACAACAACTCCCACCCCAAAAAAACAGATTACCCATAACAATAAGGAAACTTCAATCCAAAAAGAGATCACTCTGGTGGAAAAGCAAACCTGGCCATGTTGCCAACTTCAAAAGCCGATACAAAAATTTATGCCACCAGATAAAGACTGGATGCACCAATTATCACATTAAACAAGAGGAAAAACTTCTAAGTACCAAATCAACCTGCACTTTCCACAATTTTGTAAACAGCAGCCTAAAAGACTCAAGGTCCATCCTACCCCTGATAGGATCTAATGGTAAAGACTGCAACGATGACACCATTAAAGCCAACATCTTTAACACATTCTTTGGCTCAGTATTTGTAAACAGCAATGGATCATGCCCAGTATTTCCTAGCCAAACCACAGACAACTACAATGATCTAATACATATAGATTTTACAGAAAACAATGTTGAAAAAGAACTACACAATCTAAAATCATCTCTATCTATTGGACCAGATGAAATATGTGCCTACTTCTTAAAAAAGCTATCCACTGCCACAGTAGAACCACTAAGTATAATCTTTGAAAAGTCTTTCAGGACCAGCTCCTTGCCTAACCTATGGTCACAAGCCACAGTCATCCCCATCTTCAAAAAGGGAGACCCCAGCCTAGTTGAAAATTACAGACCAATCTCCTTATGCTGCATCACCTGTAAAGTCATGGAATCAATTATTAACCAATCCATTATCCTCCATTATCCTCCAGTTAGAGACAAACAACCTACTCTCCAATAAACCATTTGGTTTCAGAAAAAAACTATCCTGTAATCTGCAACTCTTACACGGCAAAAACATATGGACTACACAACTCAATCAGGGCAAAGCAATAGATGCAATCTACATAGACTTCTGTAAAGCCTTTGATTCAGTGGTACATGACAAACTACACCTAAAACTAAAATCTTATGGTATCTCTGGACAACTGCATAACTGGATAGAAGCATTCCTGTCAAACAGACAACAAATGGTCAAAATTGAGACTGTCCTACCAAATTCTGTACCTGTCAATAGTGGTGTCCCCCAAGGCAGTGTTCTAGGACCAACTGCCTTTATTCTCTACATAAATGACCTCTGTGATCATATCAAGAGCAACTGCGTTCTCTTTGCTGACAATGTAAAGCTATTCAACACCACAGACAATACTGCTACCCTTCAAAATGACCTTGACTATGTATCAGAACGGTCAAACAAATGGCAACTTCAAATCTCAGCAAATAAATGCTCTGTCCTACATATTGTCAAAAAAAATCAGAAAATAAAATACAAGCTGAATAGTCAAGACCTTGTTGATGATCCAAGCTCTGTAAAGAACCTTGGAATACTCATCTCTAATGATCTAAGTGCTAGAGCCCACTGTAACTACATAGCCAAAAAGGCATTAAGAGTTGTTAACCTAATCCTACATATCTTTTTCTCTGGTAATATCACACTTCTAACTAGAGCATACAAAACATTTGCTAGACCAATACTCAAATACAGCTCCTCAGTCTGGAACCCACTTTATGTATCTGATATTAACACAGTTGAGAAAGTCCAGAAATATTTCACAAGAAGAGTTCTCCACTCCTCTACTCATTGTAGAATACGTTATGCCACCAGATTTGAAATTCTAGACCTAGAAAACCTTGAATTGTGCCGTCTTCGGTCTGATCTAAGTATGGTATATAAACTCATACATTGCAATAACTTACCTGCCAATGAATACTTCAGCTTCAACCATAACAATACAAGAATACACAATAGATACAGACTCAAGGTTAACCGCATCAAACTTGATTGCAAGAAATACGACTTCAGCAAACGAAGTGGTCAATGTCTGGAATACTCTACCTGACTCTGTGGTTTCTTCCCCAACCCCCAAAACTTTAGCCTTAGACTGTCTACTATTGACCTCACCCCTTTTCTAAGAGGTCTGTAGGGGGGATGCATAAGCACACCAACGTGCCTACCGTCCCTGTCCTATTGTTTCTTTTATTTTTCTTATATGTACCCATTTCATGTATTCATAACTATGTATATACTTATACCTATTATCTTGTAAGTGATTGACAAATCAAAATAAATAAAATAAAAAATAAAAATACAGAACAAGACACTTTTGTAACCGCCACTCCTTGAATAGGGCACATCCTGTATAAACCACAATGACACGAGTTGTCAGCATTAGAGCTAGAAAATTGTAGTAGTTGCCTCCCACAAAACTCCACTTATGTGGAAGGAGCCCTAGATTTGGGGAGGCTGCCACATAACATTAATACAGAATCAAGATGGGATATGACAACTATGCTATGTAGCAATTAAGAAAAAGTAGCATGGGAGAAAGCTGCTCAGAATGAATGAATAGTATATAGTAGCAAGTGGTATACAGGTAGCACATTTATATTATTTAAACTTCAACTTGCACTAAATAAAAACATACCCAGTCTTGCCATGATCCTTTTGGGTTATTACATCTGAATGGCTTCAATCGTTCTAAGATCGTCTGACAAGCATTCTAAAAAATAATCCAAATCCCCCCAAAAAAATTGTTACAAAGATAATCTCTATTGTGGCTGCAGATTGCAATTAAGTCTACATAGTTTTATTTGTTTGAAACTGTTTTACTCTACATAGAGTAAAAACTGCTTAGAAACTGTTTAAGTCTCCATAGTTTTACTTGTTTATTCAAAGGAATAAAAATATAATGATCTACTTCAGATTTTAAATTGCCATTTCACGCAAGCAGCAACTGCACATATACTAAAAACAAAATCAGGGCAAACTACATAAACTGTTTATTGAACTCCCAAGCCAAACAGACTTGTGCTAACAGCAATGATTGTGTAAGTCAACTTTTCTAACTTTTGTGAGACTGTATGTCACAGATATGATCTCAAAATTGCAGACTGGCAATGGAAGTGAAAAAGTAGAATTTGATCCACACATCTGGAGGATAACAGGTTGTGGAAAGATACTACAGAGATACCTAAGAGTCATCTATTAGTGTATCTTTGTTTATCTCAAATTAAACATTGTTTGTAGCTTAATGACCAGATATTATCATTCCTAATGTTGCTATTTTGATCAGCAGTAGTATTCCAGGGTCTAAGACAAAGGATTTTCTCACCAACATATAGATAATGGCACTCCATCATTAATTTAACAATTTTCTTTTACATTAAAGTTGTATTGATAACACCTTTCAGCTGGGGGATGGGGGCAGTGCAGCCAAATCATTTAGATAACTACAAAATTGTGTACAAGAAATATCCCTTACAAAAACGGCCATCCCATTGATATCAGCACTGACAGAAGCAGCTGTTGGTGATGCATTTGGCACTGTGTTGGTGCTTGTCTCACTTATATGGATCTTAGAGGTAGGGATTCCCAGAGTCTTGCTGGCAACCTACAAAGAGAACATGGGATTCATTGTTAAATGTTAGACTGGCCACAACTCAAAGAAACAGAACTTTATGGAAAGCTATTTCTTTCTTTTCTTAAAAAAATATCAAGCTATTCTGACTCCCATCAGATATCAAATAAAAGTTATAAAACAGCAAGGGAAATAGGGGTGGGGGGAATCCAGATTTTAATAGGGTATCTACAGGTCAAGAGGTTTGCAGGATTTCAGAAGCTGTCATTATAAATAGATGTATATGAACAAATTAGGTATATATTAAAACAGAGGTCTCCAAACTTGCCAACTTTAAGACTGTTGGACTTGAACTCCCAGAATCTGGCTGGCTGGAGAATTCTGGGAGTTGAAGTCCACCAGTCTTAAAGTTGCCAAATTTGGGGACCCCGTATTAAAATAGCACAGGGCTTTTATATACATATTCCTAATTTACCTGAATCATCTTGGTGTGCAGACCTTGACCCATCTCAGTCCCACCATGTGTGAGCAACACTGAACCATCAGTGTAAACATGTATCAATGCACCAGCCTATCACCAAAATTAGAGAAATGAGCTGTTAAAATCTCTTTGAAATACTGTTGTCTCTAGGACACATTTTTAACTATAGTCTTCCTTCTTTCATATGCTTTCAGTAGGAATCAATCTAACTGATGCCAAATTACTAATATTAGAAGCCCCATGGAATTTAATCATATGAAACCTATCCAATATTAAACTGTAGCTTCATTCAGACTATATAAACATACATACAATAGAAGAAGCATGGATACAAAAAGGTATTGAATCATATTTTACTTACAGAATATCAGGTCTGAAACCTATGTGAAATTTAATCTACAGGAAAAGCTTCCTTATTGCACTCATAAATGACCAGGCACCTCATTACTGAACTCCGACCACAATGTATAGCAAGTTGGGACTATATATAGATCCCCCCCATTTTCAGAATTTATTAATGCAGTCGTGTAACTGACAGAAGTTGTTTCATATTCAACTAAAGCTAAAGAAAATATTATTTACACAAATCAACTTGCTATTAGTTTATGAAGATCTGAATCAGTGGTGGGATTCAAAAAAATTTACTACCAGTTCTGTGGGCATAGCTTGGTGAGCTTGGCTTGGCTTGGTGGGCGTGGCTTGGTGGGCGTGGCAGGGGAAGGATACTGTAAAATCTGCATTCCCTCCTCACTCCTGAGGGAAGGTTACTGCAAAATCCCCATTCCCTCCTTACCTCACTAACCTGCTTTCCAGCTCCCTTCTTCTGTGCAGGGCAACAAAAGAAGACCCAGCTGATCAACTGGGACTTGGGAGGCAGAGAATAAATGGGGGCAGGGCCAGTCAGAGGTGGTATTTGCCAGTTCCCCAAACTACTCAAAATTTCTGCTACCGGTTCTCCAGAACTGTCAGAACCTGCTGAATACCATTTCTGATCTGAATTATGAGCAAATAAAGTGAGCGGCCCCCTTCAGCTAGTAGATATAGCAGCAGATTGGGCAGGAAACAGCAGTGAGGTATTGGCAGACAGAAGTGAGAATATCATGCCTCTAGTCTGCTGCTGTCAGATATGATGGAGCATGCTGTCCTTACACTAGTGCTGATGGAGTGCCATCTGGGCAGGTAGCAGTATATTTTGCTTCAACCAGAAAACTAAACATTTTGGTCCAGCACTTTGGAAAATGAGATCATAAAGATAGTTGCTGCCCTCAGCTGACTCCCAGTCATTTTGAAGTTCAGATACAATCTGTCCTATGGCGAGAATTCTGGCAGTTACTCCTATTTAAATCATGAGTCTCGAGCCAAACTTCCAAAACTTCAAAAGGATTTATTGGGAGTTAACATGTGCAGCACTGTCTGGGTGTAGCCAACTCTGAGACACATAATTCATTGTCAGCCTTGACCCTAGTTTTCCCACACCCTCTGGATGTATCGTAATTTATATTCTCCAATGGAACACATTCATAGCCAAGAGCCATCAATCATGCCCTCCAGTTAGAATTTTGCGTGGCAGAAACTTCAGTCACCTAGTTACTATCTTTGAAAACATTTATGGAATGCACTTTCGGTTTGTAAGCTGTCGCACTGCTCCCCCCTCCCTTTCTGTTCGCAACTCTAAAAAGACCATAGAAATATTTTATGAGTTGATAACAACTATAAGTTTGATGCAATCTCTATTTTTTTTAAAAAAATTCCAAAGTCTGCAAACACATGAAGCATGGGAATTCTATTTTTATATGAAGAAGGCCACCGGTGGCCCATAGGCTGTCTCAGTAAAAATATAGGATGTTTGCCAACCTGATTCAGAAAAGGAACAGTGAAGCTGATCCCAAACTTGGTAGGAATAATGGCTATGCCCCTCTTCTTCCAGCGATTCTGCCTGGGAAAACAGAAGAGTTTGGCATGCCTTTCCAAATGCATTCTTCCTAAGCAAGGCATTATTTCCCAAGATTGTGTGTAAAACAAATCTAGCATCCAGTCAGTAAATGTTATAAATAAGAAACATGGTTACTGATGGCAGCGTTGTAGTACTGAATATAATGTTCAAAGGGATTCATTTAAAGTTTAAACCTGATAGTATACAAATCTAAATATATACATTTATACTGCATTTATACCACAGGGTGTTTCCCCCACCCCCACCCCTTTTTTTCCTTTGCATTTGACCTTGAATTATTTTTTTCTTTTTATCTTTGAAGTTTTGAAAGCTTTTGTCAGCATTTCATAGGGAACTGGAGTAATAAACCAATGCAGCATATCTCATTTGATATATGATATTTTATTTTAAGCCCACAGTAGGTGTGATTCTCTAATGATCAAACCTATAAAAGCTAGCTGCTTGAGAGAGAGAATAAATTGTACTGTATTTAGTCCCAAATACAAGATAAAATTCAAGGAGATCTAATACTAGTAATAGAAGAAATTTTCCACAATAGTTGTATATTGCTTTCTTAGTGCCAGTTTGCTAGCCTTCTGCATCCTCCCCCTCCAGTTTCCAGCTACTAGTCATAAGAATCCATAAGAATCCAGCTTTATCCTTCAAACAGTAAAAATGATTGAGAAAGCTGTGGGAAGTTTCTCTGAATCACATTAGCAGCTACTCCAGTCTGTTTATAGCAGTTAAAGAAAGTGTTGTCCTTATTGTATGATATACCAAGATATTTTTTTCTGAATGGCTCAATCCAATGCAATGCGATAATGCAGTATATTGTGCTCCTCCACATTTTTGTTCCAAATGTATTTTTATCTTTTCTGAATGTCATATTTTTCTGTGATTCATGTGTGTGTGTGTGTGTGTGTGTGTGTGTGTGTGTGTGTGTGTGCATGTGTGCGTGTGTGTGCATACGTGTGTGTGCATGTGTGCATGTGTGTGAATAAAATCTGGAAAAAATACCTTAACATGCTATCAAATGGGTATTTGTGCTTATCTAGTTATATACATGCATGCATAATACACAGAAATAGCCTGAATTGCCTTATTAATCAGCCTTATAGTGATCAGGAACAATGCAATAAATAAAACATAGAGGACTGAAATTACAACTTTGACAGAGGTCCATACGTTTTTCTGCCAAATTCATTAATTTCAATTAGCAGAGAATTTATTTCAGACAATTGGGTATGATGTTGGTAGGTGGCAACCTTTAGAATGAAAATAATCCATATGAGATAATTCCAACTTTCAGTAAAATCAGAAATTATCTGTAAAAAATAAGATACTCACTGGTTGAACTTCTCAATGTTTGTTCTTCTGGAATGATACTTCGATTTTGCAAGGCATTCCTCCCAACATCTTTTCAAAGTGAACCCCTCAAGCTTCTGATTGAAATGAGTTAGATCTCCTTCACTATACAGATTGATTTTTCGTACCTTTTCAGAACAAAAGAGAAATGGACAGACTTCAGTTCTGAAATAACTGGGATCTTTTAAACAAACAAGCAGAGCTTTAGCAACATATTGAATGTTCATCACCCCATCAATATTCAGTAGAATAAAGGAATGGGACACAATTGCCATGATGCGTAATAAGATTTTTACATCCAGCTAATGAAACAATCCAATTATCAGCATCAGTGATAAAATCAGGTTCAGTGGAACTGCATGAAGGATGTATGCATTGAAAGGCAGGTGAAAATAATGCTAACCAAGTTATAACAGACAGGAGATAAGGAGATAGTGTCCACAAAATGTATGTGATCTAGTCTCAGTTCAAGAACACTGAAAAGATCTGAAGAGAAAACAAAGGTTTGGAATTGAAAAAGAGGAGCATCGAGGAAAGAGGTGTCACCAGCCTTTCACCAGATTGGCAGTTTTCCAAAAAGGAATGTTGGTGATATAGACAAGGAGGGAATTTGTTCCTTTTCCTTTAGGCCAAAAGAATTTATCAACTCCAAGAAAGAAATTATGGCCCACTGCTTTCCCATAAAAGGGAAGTGTGAAAGTTCTGATAAGTACAAGTGAGTAGGAGAGTATTATAACTTGCTTTCTGTAAAATTATACCTTGGTGAGCACATACCTCTTCTGCTGGCAGTCCACACTTCAAGGCTATGTCACTTATCCAGCACTCAGCAACCAACATTCCCTGGGGACCCCCAAATCCACGGAAGGCTGTGTTGGAGGCCAGATTTGTTTTACAGACTACACCGATACCTCTGATATTTGGGATGTTGTAGGAATTGTCCATGTGAAGCACAGCTCTGTCCATAACCTATGGAATCAATTTAAATAAATAAATAAATAAATAAATAAATAAATAAATAAATAAATAAAGTGAGGGATGGGTTTGTTTGCTTTACTTGCTTTTATTCCTGCATCAATAGTTACAAACTGAATGTTTTCTGTATACTGTACATAAAATGTCAGAAAATGTATGATATTATGCATGCAAAAAAGAGCTTCAATGTTACATCAAACTTATTATTTCATCATAACTTTCTTGGTGAGCCTTAATTTATCTCAAGCACTCTTTACTTTTTAATCTCAAGCTCTTTTTGAGATTTGCATCACAAGCAGCCTAGCCTGGATTCCCAAAATGTGAATTACTGATATCACTGACTTCTGGAAGCCTAACACACTTGAATAATATTCAGCTTTTTTTGATACATTGCATCAGACCCAATTTAGGGATCAAGTCTGACTTTCTGATTAGTATCATTTTGCCCTTGTCTGCATTATATAGTTATCATTGTTGCTATTCTAATCTAAGATATCCTTGCTATTTCCCTATTCTACCAGAAAACAGAATTCCATAGAATTCAAAAAACTTGTTGGTTCCCACAACCCCTGACACTGGTTCAAAGGAATCAGAGTAGACCGTGATTTCCAACTTACCCCATGAGAAAGATCAATAGAATTTCCTCCATTGCTGTAATATGATACATCTAGGCTAGTTATCCTTCCATTTTTCTTAAAGCCAACCTGGGAAAAGCAGAAAATAACTATTTTGTAGAATTCAATTGTTCCATTTACAAATATTCTGATATTCATTTAACTGAGCTATTTGGTTTTGAAAGACAGGCTTTCACAGAAGCTATTATTAGATGACTATTTTCACATGAAAAAGACAATTTCTAGCTAATTGATTAATGGCAATTAAGGCACAAGGCTAGAGACTTGGAACCCACAAGTCCTATTCCTGCCTTAGGTGTGAAAGCCAGCTATGTGACTTTGGGCCAGTCACTCTGTTTTAGCCCAACCCACCTTACAGAGTTTTTGTGTAAGAAAAATGGGAGGAGCATACTAGGTATGCATTTTTCTATAAAAATAAAAAGGGGGATTAAAAAAATCAATCAATAAAATAAATAAATAGATTTAGAATGAGGTATACATTCATTCTTCTTCTGTTATATTACTTGCTCCAGAATGTGGATCGAGCAGTGCAAAAGTCACTCATCACAAGTGTTTCGCTCATAACAAGTGTAATCTTTTTAATGCTCATATTAATTTTTATTTACCTTATACTGTGCCCAAAATGGGTGTCTTCCACCAGAAATCAGCATATCTTCATCTCGATCAAGCATGCATCGTACTGGGCAGCCAGTCCTGTAGAATTAGGCTGAGAGTAAACCTACTGCAAAGGTGTCACGGTAACAATTTATATCAGTGAACAACACAGGAGGCTCTTTTCTAAGTGCTTTCATTTGGGAATAAACCTTTTCTGTTCTGACATTCCCTCAGTCAAAGAGCACACATAGATTCCGCCCAATACTACTACAATTCCCACCTGTATTTCTAAAAGCAAGTTAAGTTAAAAAAAAAAATAGAGAAAGAGAGACAGTTCTAAAGATGTATGAAATCATCATATAATTGAAAAGATCAGGAAAGGGGGGAGGGGGAAAAAACCTTTGCCTAGTTTCAAAAAAAAATTAAATAAAGCTTTAGAGACCAAAAGCTGGTATTGAAAATGACGTTCTTTTGACATTTATGAATCTAATTCTAAAAGGCACCGAACAGTGTAATATAATATAAAACTACAAATTGGCAATGAAAGTAAGTGTCTCCAGCATGATGTTAAAGGTGGCAGCCATTTCCAAATTATAGTAGAATTTTGCATTTCTATGTGACAAACCGAGCAGAACAATAACCCTGGGAAAGGACATGTAGTGGTTCTGGGCCACAAACAAAGCTATTTTCTTGATTCTCCATATGAAACAGAAACTTTAACTTCACTTTAAAACCTGAAGTAACCATACAGAGGGGCCATTCATTAGAACTTACTTAGCAGCAGCTACTGCAACAACTGTAGACAAGATAATGCTTCTGGATTCTTTCCCTCCAAATCCTCCTCCCATTCTCTTCACACGAACCAGAATTCGATTAGCAGGAACCCCTAAAGCGTTAGCAACAAGATCCTAAAAATAACAATTTAAAATAATTCAACCATGTATTAGCCTACATTGAAGTAGTTCTCCTTCTGTAAAGAGAAAGAGAGAAACTAAGCTAAAGAACTCCATTCCTGGTGTAGAAGTAGCCTACACATATTCACAAGCAAGGAGAATTATTGAAGTCGGTGAGATTTATTATCAATAAACATGCATAGATTTATGTTTCCTGAGGTCAAATTTTCAGTTTCTTGATGGGAAAGTGTGAATTCCTGCATGCAGAGGTTAGAAGACAGTTTGCGTATGAGAAAGTACTTTATATACATAGATGCAGATATATGCAAATACATGTACAAAATGGTCACATTCAGATTATAAAGTATCCAGGATTGGTTTCAGTGGCAGCAGTCAAAGTTTGTTGATAAAATAGAAATGTGGAGGACTATTCAAGACTTTTGTTTGTGTTTATTTTATTTTTTCTGTCTAATCTTTTTTTGGAATGTGTTAAATTAGAATCATTTTCCTTTCAGGTAAAGACAAAAATGACTTCATGCTACAGTAATTTACTAATTTGCCATATAATTCCATAGGTAAGTTTAGCAGTTCTATAGCTCCTAAATTAGGAACATCAAGGAATACCAGAAACTCAAATTGAGTTTCTTAGTTTTCCTATGGCAAAGATAACCTTCATGTCCTTAACAATATGCTTTGCCTTGTATACAGCTGAGCTAATCTGCCTTGTCAACTTTTGAAGAATGTGATTTCTGCAAATGTACAAAAACCACATTGATTATTTTTTGATGTGTGAAGCATCATTCTTACTCCATAATAAGGCAGAATAGGAATGGAGAATATAACCATTTCCTTTCTTATTGCACTCTAGAGGAAAATCGCTCTTCAACTCTTAATGAACATCCCTATTCAAATAATAATAGCAATAACAATAATAAATCATGTTATTCTTGGTGACAAACTGACTGCCTTCTCCAAAAGCAATCAAGAGACTGGCTAACCTGTGTTTTTGCTAAGTTTTGGGTGGATACAAAGAGTTCCATTTCTCCATCTTCTCCTTTTGGTACAGCAATTGTGCAGTGAGTCTCCAGATAAAAATGTTCCTGGCCACCAATGTGCATCTCCCCTAGGGAGGATGAAAAGAAAGGATTTCCAAATCAAATAATACATTAAATTCAAAATAGTGTTTTCCAGGGTGGTGTGAGAATTTATACAATAATGACTCTGATTCAAGTTCATGGAATTCAGAGTCCAACTGCTGATCTTCACTGCTTCAATCATTTGGGAAGAAAACCTGGGCCTCTCCTGAGTCCATCAAGATTTAACAATTTTTATGCACTTTATCAAATAGCAATTTGCCTCCTATTTGCTTCTCTTAACAAAGTAAAAGAATATTATTCTCTCTTGTCTTACTCCCTTTACCCCATTAGTAACTTTGAGTACAGACTCCAAGAAAAATAGTTAGTTCAATATTTCACCCTACCCAGATTCCACCACACCCAATTATGCCGTTTAGTTACAAAAAAGGATTATCATGCGTTTTTAGCCTCTGAGCACTTGATATGTATCAAAGAAACTTTCCATTTTTACTCCGATATGACAGGCAGTGTAGGGAAGCTGGAAAAAATAATAACAAAACAAGAGGAGCTTGAAAAGATGTCCATTTCTAATGTTTTGTCCAAAAAAGAGTCCCAAGATCAATGCAAATGTGTAATTCATCCAGTCAATGCTTTAAAAGAAATCTTTGTTATATATAAATCCGAAAGAAACAATAAGAAATGAGGAAGCTTACCTTCCACAATATGATCAGCCTCTTCAAATCCTTTCTGGATATTTCCTTTTTCGATCTTCCTATCAGTCTTAAAGAAAGACTCTTTCTCAATGGCTTCCTGTGAAAATTATAGGAGAATCAATTAAATACACACATATTTACATGTACATGCGTGCTCACACATACACACATAAAACCACCAGCTCTATTTTGTGTAGCTTAGCCAAGTTGGACCAATGTTATGTACTGTTCGTAATCTGCATCACATTTTGAATGCAAGGTACAATTAAAGTTTCTGCACCTTATCTAGAAAAAAACATTGGCAGATAGTACGTGTCATTATCTATTTCATTAGAATTCCCTATTCTCTCCTGTGCTCTAGCTTCAACAACTTTCTTTCCAGTCAGGACTCTGAAATCAAGGTCTATGTCACTTTCTTGCAGTGCTCACCTGGATAGTGATAATTGGTGTAAGCTCTTCATATATGATCTTCACTGCTTTGGCAGCTCTTCGAGAATGTTCCTGTGTATCTGCCAATACTGCACCAATAATATGCCCAACACATGTCACCTATGAGGGAAAAAAAGACTTTTGTTTATTCAGTAACTTTGGAAATTTTAGCTGATTTATTGTCAGTAATACTTTAATTTGGATATGTTTATTTTTGAAACCCCAAAATTAAGTTTTTGGGGGGGAAATCCAAAAATTTACATAAAGAGAACAAACATTCTGAATGTAGACATACTGTTGGACAACAGCTAGTCTGGGCACAAACGGATTTTCAAAATTATGAATTAAATTTTGAACAAGCAATTTCTCCAATTTTCCCTGGAGGAAGAGAACTCTTCCTATACTTCCGAAAGGTGCTTTTTCCAGAGGCAACTGGAATTTCTGGTTTTCCTTTGAAAGCATTTTCCTTCTCATCCAAGAAGTTTCTTCAGCTCTGACTGGATGGTGGGGAATGGAAAGATTTATGCTCCTTGCAGACAGCTGGTCATTTGCATTCTTTTAGAGAGTCATTAAGGCCCCCAGACAACCATGATCTGTATGACTGAGAATCTCCATAGTAAAGTTCCCATAAAATATTTTTCCTTGGCATTTCATTAAACTGTGGGTAGTCAAGAACATCAGAGTACTGGAAAAGGGAGAATTGTACAGTGAAATACAGCATATTCCCTCATACCTTGCCACCTTGCAACTAAATGAGAGCAAGAATATCACAGTCTTCTGTTTTGAAACAGTTTTAAAAGCAAATTCTTTCTCATGAAATCGAATGGGAAATGATAGAGAACAGACAATTACATGTGATTATATTTGATCCCAGTGAATTCAGTGGAAACTATCTTCAATTGGTGTTGATATGCACATTAAGCTGCATTCATTACCAAATCTATGAGATGCCCCATCATATATACCAACTTCATGGGGAAGGACATCTCATAATTTAGTATGTCATTCCACATGACATACACATTTGATTGTGTATCAGAACACATACAAATACAATTTTCATGGGGGATGATGGTACATCTGCCAGTTGTCACTCTAACATATAACTCACCAATTCAAGCCAAAGTGAACAGTATAAAATGTATAGAACACAACTGGGAATAAACCAAGGGAGGGAGATAATTGAGCTATAATGCAAGTGACTTGATTGCTCCATTTCAGTATCTTTGAGATAAATAGGACAATATGTAGATGAAAAGCAATAGTTACATACAATGTCTTTTGCAAAGATGGTTTCATCATTACAAATCCCAGAAGTGTTACTTCCTGGAACATCCTGATTAGAGACAAAACACACAAAGCCAGGTACATTCTGAGCTTCTGTGGTATCAATGGAACTGGAAAAAAAAGAGTAGCACAGTAGGATTATTCCCATGAGATTTAGGTGTATGTCTGCAAATACAATTTTTGACTGCATTAATTTCTAAAACAAAAATTTCTAAAATCAATGTCTGCATTGAACACCCTTCTTTTGAGTAGTGTGTCTGCTTCTGGGCAATATCCTTTGTTGAAAGAAGAAGAGATTCAAAGACGGGCAACCAAGGGATTTTTCTGGATTGGGGATCTAGAAATCAAACCCTATACATATATATGTTTCTCAAAACTCTCCAAGAAAAGATGATCAACATTCTAAAGCTCAACTGTGGATAGGGGCAACTACAAATTACTACAGATTTTGTAATAATCTGTGTACATTTATAGTTTGCACCTTCTGACATGCTGTCAGTTGTAAGAATTACACAATTTCCAGAGGCAGAAACAAATTGCATATTATATGGAGGTGGACTATAGCCTTTCCTTGGGGGGCTTTATAATGTAAGAGACACAAAAGACCACATCTATCAACTCATAAAACATTCCTATACCTGTTTTAGTAGTTGCCATAAAGGGGGCGTGGAAGGAAGGAAATCTGGAAGAGCAGTGCAGCAGTTTAAAAGCGAAAGTACATTCCAACCCGTATCTTTAAAAGATTGTAACTAAAATACGAGAGCTTTTGGCTGCAAATATATTTGATTTGAGAAAGTGAATGATGACACCCAGCCTGTGAATGTGCTCAATTGGAGAATCTGGTTCTTGAGACACGCAGGGGGGGAGGGGGAAAACAGAGTCACAGACAGGGGTGGGATTCTACCAGTTCGCGCCTATTCGCTAGAACTGGTTGTTAACATTCTAAGCAGTCCGGAGAACCAGTTGTTAGAAAAAATTACTGGCCTAATCCTGTAAGGAAGGCAGGAAGGAAACATTCTGGTGTTGCTTACAGAAACTGCCTCTCCGTTAACCCTTATTACATTCTTGGCAGGACTAGACTTCCTGTCTCAGGAACTTCTCTGGATTTTTTTTCTCTCCTTTGCTGCTATTTGGCTTGTGTGGAGTGACCATTCAAAGTCACAATGGCACTGAAAAAACTGACATGATGATTTTTCACACTTATGACTATTGCAGCATCCCCACAGTCATGAGAGGCCAGGCAAGGAGATGCGTGCCTCAATGTGAGTGATATTGAGTTGGCCACACCCAGCCAATAACATGACCACCAAGCCATGCCCACCCAGTCACATGACCACCAAGCCATGCCCACCACCTAAGCTACACCCACAGAACCAGTTGTTAAAAATGTTGAATCCCACCCCTGGTCACAGGTGACTGTAAATTACATATGCCAGAGTTGGCTTCATACAGGGCAGTGCCAGTATGTCACCTCTAATGAATCTTTTGAAGTTTTTTGGAGTTTGGCTCAAGAATCATGATTTAGTTAGAGTGATTGCTGGAATCCTGACAACATCCACATCATAATAATTGTGGCCTGTACCATTTAATAAATAATGGCGTATGTCATGGAAACAGGACTTACATAATTTTAGCATGGGCTTTGCTGCTGGTAACCAGTGTTAGGTAGAGTTCATTTGTGTAAGAAGGGATGTCATCACAGTAGACTGCCTCTCCGCTTGCCTGCTTGGCAGCTGACAAATGCATCAGGGGTCGTCCCACCATATCGTCAATGGATTGCTCATTAGGCACTTCCTATGAGAAAAGCAAAGATAGATATCCTTTCACTGCTGATTAAATCCTGGCATCAATACACTACAAACATTGCCTCATTCAAAAAGTTAAAGTTCTACTAGCAACAATGAAGCAATTGGGGGAACAGCATTTAGCATTTCAAATACAGGACAATTCCTTCTACCGAAAAGGAAGAGGTCCTATTAGGAAAGACATCTTCTGTAATTAATTAATTTAAAAACAGCAACAAAGAACAAAAATCAGAATAAGGGCTAGTTCTAGGAAAGGTCTAATGCTCAGGCAAGCACATTTCCTAGAACTGAGATGGGAGGCAATAAAACAAATGGAAAACACAACTGTTTTTTGCTCTTACTTACTTGGAAAAGTTGGACATTGCTAACAGGATCCTTGTTAAATAATTCAGTGGCACTAGCATCCGTGCAAGGGACCAAATCACTCAAATTATTCTGCAAAAATATGGGCAAAATCTTATTTTAATTTTTGATTTCTCTTCTGCGAAGGTAAATGTATTTTAATACATTTCTTAATGTGCACAAGAACATTACCATCAAAATGAAAAAAGTTACCAATAGCCATATGGAACTTGCATACGGACAGCCATATGAAACTGACCCTTATCCCATCAAGAAGACAGAAAAACTCACGTTGCCATTTAATTTTATATGTTTTTGAAGCACCGTGAGGTAGAACTTAAAGAAAAAGCTGAGCACGAGAGTACGACGGAAATCCACCATGCCACCAGGGGCCGAAGGGGAAAGATTCATCTCCTCAGCCAGCAAACGGCAAGCTTCCTGCAGGAGATCTTCTTTCCATTCTCTGTTAAAAATGAACCATGGATTAACACAAAATTGTTTTATTTGTCTATTCAGTAAAAGCATTAAGCTAAATATTCCCATTCAGCTGCCGTGTAATTTTATTGGGAGTTCATCTTCCAGAATGACCCTTTTCTGGCACCAAAGCATGGGTATCCATAGGATATGATCAGAAAAGAAGCTAAGATGGTGGCCGTGATGATGTGATGGAAACTCCGTTTATTTTCTTTGAGGAACAGGCCAGAAATCATCAGAGATGTAACTGCAGCTTCCCAATAAGAAAGTCCACTTTAAGCTGCACTCAAGATCAAAAGGAGCTTCTCTAAAATCTTAAGTCCATAAGGCTGTCCCATGCTGCAGCCTTCCAAGTATCTCTACATTATACTGCCAATGTTAAAATATTAATGTGTTTATATTTCACTATGAGGATGAAGACAAAAGTTCCTAATCTTTCCCCAAAGTCATAAACAAACCAGAATGAAAATATTTGACCCCACAATTCAGCAAATAATCATACATGCACCCCCCCCCAGTTTCCTTAAGACTGAAATGATAACAACATCATAAAGTTTGGTCTCCCCGTTAAAAATGTTACAAAATTCTGCCCCCAACATGTAAGACTCACTCATTTACCTCCCAATCAGCTTCTGACAAGTTTTTACAGCCATGACTGTTGTGGGAGCCATTCCCCCATAACTCAGCTTAATCTCTTCTAATCGATTGGTTCCTTCTTGAAACCGAACTCTCATTCCACAGGTTACAATGGCAATGTCATCCTCCCGTCTTGAAGCTTGCTTGAAGGCGGAGAAATATTCACCCTAAGAGAAGAAAAGGAAGTTCTGTGGACTTTTTCACATTGATCTCAGTGGGGGAAGTGTGGAGTAAAGTTGGTCCATTGATAGCAACGGTACTAGAATATGAGCAGTAGCTTTTATGAAATAATTTCTCGATGAAGGAAGAACTAGCCCTGGGAAAATATAACAGAATTCTAGACAAACAATGAAAGAATTCCTGTTGCTATGTTCTGAATAAAACTTAACATTGCAAAATTCACTTTCATCTCTGAGAACAGCAAGTCAGGATTATGCTTATAAATAAGTGTTCATTATTATGCTAGAACTGATATATATTAGTTGCAAAGTGTTTCTGCAGCATGTCTATGTCCAGGATCTTGGTTTGTTGGTGTATTTGTTTGTTTCCTTACATAAGGGCAGCAAACATTGTTTTGGTAGGTGCTTTCTTGTTTTGAATCTCTAAGAATCTCATTTAATATGCTAATAACCATGAAGTAGCAGATTATGTCTCTATTTCCTTCCATTCAAGATGCTTGAGTCCCTTTGCAAACACTCATGATTCATTAATCTTTCTAGAAAATGTCAAGGTTGAGCACTCAAAACAGATCCATCATGTTGCTTTAGGAATATAGAAATGGCATGCCAAGCCAGACCATTGGTCCACTTATCACCGTATTCTTCATACTGTCAATGCGTCTCCCTTAATGTGCTCTGACCCTAAGCTAAAAGTGCACAACAGTGTTACAATTTCTCCAGCAAAATTGATCCTAACCATCTACACATCAATTCATTTCTGTTTTAAAATTTTGTCCAACTAAATAAATAAAAGCTACAACCCTCATGAACGCCAACATCTGAAACTGAAAGGGACTGAAACAGCCTCTTGCTTTACAATTTGTATGGCTTCTATGTAATTCTTACAAGTTAGAGCAAACAATGCAGAGTTCTTAGGTGCTCATACCCAGATGCCCTTCTGTAAGTGACAGCACTACTGGCAAGGATGTAGAAAAAAACACAGGGCAGCTTCAAAAGGGATAATTGAAAAAGATCCCAAAATTAGAACTTGGATGTCTTAATGCACAGCAGAGGGTGCTCTGGCTGCATGGTGCACTACTGGCATCAAGCCCCATGCACTGGGCAAGAGGAAGGTAGCAAGAGCTACACAAATTTCAGCAGGCCGTCTTTAACGTCTGTGATAAGTGCAGAATCTTGAAATTTCCCAGCTTCAATTCTGCAAGTTACTTATGGAATTGATTAAGGCAAAATCTTTTTTTTAACAATTTTACCCTAGTTTTGTGCCTTATAATTATAGTATTTTTCTAATTATTGTTTAATGCATTGTGTAGACGTGGTTCTATTGGGGTTTTTCTTTTTTTGTAATGGCTATTAATGTGGCTCTGAATTTGGAAGGGAATATTTAAGAAAGCTAAGTTAATAGTAGGAACATTTTGAACGGAAAAAATGCTTGACTGATATAGAAACAATGTGTGCAGAATTTATCCAGATTGGAACAAGATTAACAAGATTAACTACCCCCTTTCCATTCTTCATTTCATGTATACCAGTCAAATAAATGCTTTCCCTGTAACTCGGAAGAAGCAAACATAATTGATGTCACAGTTCAGATGGATTTTTTTCCCATGGATCTCTCACACTGCAAATCATGAGATTCTTAGAACTCCAGTCAGGAAAATCTCATCTTTCTTTCTAGAATAATCTTAACCAATATAATAAGAACATAGTTACCCCAAAATGCAATTGCATCAGGACTGAAAAGATGCTGTTATTATAACCACCATATCCAAAATAAGCTCAGAGAAGAAAGGAAAGAAGAAAAATAAACACAGCCCTGAAAAATAATAAGCACGCCCTCAGTCCATTAAGTAATTAACATTAATCATCATACCTGAGTCCATAAATATCCATAATCCATGGATCTATATGAGTCAATTCTTTCATATTACCCAGAAACCAATCCACATTAGGTATTCTGGGGACTCTGCAGTAAATACGTTGTGTTCTTTTATCATGAACATCTGAGCTTATCTATTATTAGTTGGATAGTAAGCTTACTGACCCCAGGTATTTTAACAGAAGTACAATGTCAAGAGGAGACATATGTTCAATGGAACTAGATAAACTGCTGGGCTGATCCAACAAGGCTCTGCTTGGACTCTTAGAAATGGTAATGGGATAATGAACTTGTTGATTCTTACTTTGCCTCATTGCTGATTTTGACTTCTACTTATTTCAGAATAGATCCATCTGTCATTGCACTAAAACTTGGACCAGACTTATCATGGAATGTATGACACTTCAAAAATCAGCTTCCTTCTATTACTGTATGTTGTTTTTCAAATCTGGGTACGGTGGGACTAGAACTCACAGTCTCCTGATTTCTAACCTGGTAACTTAACCACTTGACAAACTGGTTTCAAAATTCCTTAATTAATGTATTGTTCACTTCTTGATTGTTAGTGTGATGTTAATTTTGGTGTGGATCTATGTACATCTGGGTGTTGATTGCTGGTAGGGAGTTGTTTTGGTTTTATTTTCCCTTTGGGGTTTGTTGATTGTCTCTTTTGCACAGTATGTAGATGTTGTTTGATGGTAAACCAGAAACAAAAACACCCCCACTCATACTAATCAAGCCAAACAACCTAATAGTAAACAGCCCAACCAAAAAAAACCCATCGAGACCAATCCTACTAACACTGACAGGGCAATTCACTAGAATATAAATTTAGAGCAAACCCCACTCCATACTAGCAGTGATGATGTTACTGCATAATGAAACATCTGCATGAAAACAAGTAAGCTCAGAGAGTATCAAGGAGCTCTCATTTCAACCCTGAGCTACAAATATTCTTCTTTATTGAAACATTTTGTATCTTTCATGACTAAACTAAATTTCCCCATCTTATCTAAGAAGAACGCTATGCTAGAATTAACTCCTTTTTGGTTGCTTAGGCAATACACACACAAAGCCACAATGCAGGATGGCTATGTTGGTCATGAGATTTCCTTTTTGTAGCTCTCTCCAGCCATAGCAAAACATGCTAAGAAATTGTTGCTTTCTTTCCCACTTCCTGTTTTCTTAAGTTTTATTTATTTTTCCACTAGTATACTCATTCCTAAATTCAACATCTATTCAGGAAACATATTTAAAGATTTTATATATTTTTTACCTTCTTCCTAGTTAAAACTTTACACAAAATGAAATAAATATAAGTCAATGGGAGGGACATTTTCGCTAAAAAAAATTATGTGAAAAGAGTATCAACTACCTGATAGCTAGCTTGTGCAACGCAAGGAGAATTAATTTAGCCCTGAATAACTGATTCTCTTTGGAAGGGAAAAACCTAACCCCTTTTGTATAGATCAGGAGTATCAAACTCGTGCTGTCACAATGTCATCATGTGACATATTGTGACTTTTTCCCCTTTACTAAACTGGGCATGGTCAGTGCATGACGCATCCAGCCCACAGGCTGTGCATTTCACACCCCTGGTATAGATTAAGCAGGTCATTTTTCTGGTTTCTACATGCTCAAATAAGTTTGTGTGATTCAATAAGTGATTTGTATGAACAGAATAATGTCAACTTTTTACCCCATGAAAAGCACAATTAATTTCTTAATTAATTAAGTATAATTTCTCTGATTTTGAATACTTTTGTCTAGGATATTTTTTGTTCTTATGATTTTACCTCTACTTTTATTTCAGTTTTTAGGTGGTAATAAAAAACTATATTGGAATAATGTAGTCAGTTTTGCTAGGCATGAGAAGGAGCAAAAGTTTTTGTATGGCACTAAAGTCATCCCCAAGGTGGAAATCTTTTTAAACTCAATGCTCTTTCAGGAAGCATTGTATACTTTTATTCGCATATGGGCAGCCATGGGAACTAGATATTTTTCAGCAGAGAGATGGGGGAGAGGGAGGGAGGGAGGGAGAGAGATGACTGCTATGTCCAAACGACCCTTATGTTTCATGAGAATCATAGCAAACTTAACATGGCTTTGAGCATTGCATCTGCATTATTAATGAATATTAATGAACTTATGAAACAATAGTTCTTTTACTCCAACCCTTTGTTCAAGCAGGAGATACAATTCTATTCCAGACAAATGGTTGTCTAAACTCTTCTTAAAAATTCCCAGTCATGGAGCACCCACAACTTCTAAAGATAAGCCATTCCCTCGATAATTTCATTGTCAGGAAATTTCTCCTTAGTTTTAAGTTGGATCTCTCTTTAATAAGTTTCCATCTGTTACCTCTTATCCTGCCTTCAGGTGCTTTAGTAAATTGGTTGACCCCTCTTCTTTATCTGAATATTAAATATTGTAGACTACTATCATGTTACCCCTAGATCTTTTCTTTATTAGACTAGACATTCCCAGTTCTTGCAATCATTCTTCGTATATTTTCTCCTCCAATCCCCTAATCATCTTTGTTGCTCTTCTCTGCACTTTTTCTATGGTCTCAACATTATCTTTTTTTCTACTGTGATGATCAAAACTGGAGGCAATATTACAAGCTGATCTCACCAGAGCAGTATAAATCAGCGCCGGCACTACACATGACCTTGATACTATCCAGGAGTGGGCTGCAGGGGCCTCGCAGGGGTTCGGAAGAGCCCCTAGCTAAGATTCTGTGCAGTTCAGAGAACCCCCAAATCCCACTCCTGGCTGGCCTCACCCACCCCACCCCGGCCCTCCCAGGAGTCTCCAAGCAGCCCATTTTGGATGCAGGTAAGTGCAGGGGCATGCGGAGGCTCAGGAAGGGCAAAAACCTCCTGGAATTTTGGGAAGGCCAGAAATGGGCCTGTTTCCAGCCTCCAGAGGGCCTCTGGAGCCCAGGGGAGGCCATTTTCACCCTCCCGGAGTTCAAGAGCCTCTGGAGCCCAGGGAGGGCAAAAATGCACACACAACCCGCTATGGTGCAGGAGGCTGACTAGGCCATGCTTAACCATGGCCATGCCCATTCAGTGACCAGGCAGAGAACCCTTTAATAAAAATTTTGAAGCCCACCCCTGACACCATCCCTCTGTTGATTCAGTCCAGGGCTTCATTGGCTTTTTTTGGCAACTGCAGCAGACTGCTGGCTACTATTTAACTGATTGTCCACTCCTAGATCCCTTTCATACTACTGCTATTGACCAAGATATCACCTATTCTACACCTATGTGTTTGGTTTATCTTGCCTAAGTGTAAATCCTTATTTTTCTCACCACTGAATTGCATTTTGTAGGATAGGGCCCAGTGTTCCAGTCTGTCAGGGTCCTTCTGCATCTTGAGTCTATTTTCTAAAGCGTTACATATGCCTTATAAAACTACACAGTCTTTTTTTCTATGATAATAAATATTCAGATCACATCACCTCCCTACTGAAGGGAATCTCAACTGAAAGCAGTATTTCTTGAGGCTTCAGTATAGTTTTTCTGTATCCAGTAAAGAATTTTTCATCCATCCTTATTGTCCTGCTGCCCTCTGCAAGAAAACAAGATACAGCACACAAAGGATGAGTTGGGTAGGCAGGTGGGTTCTCAATTCAACTTGGCAACTATTTACTGTTGGGAGGATGGCTGTTCTTTTAATTCCACAAGGAAAGATTGTGACCTACACTAATGAAACAACATATCCTAGCTATCTGTTCTAGCCTGGTGCTCCCTAGGCATGTAGGCCTTCATATATGTATTTTGTATCAGCTCCCATATGTCACATCGGAATCACAGGGAGCATGAAATCAACATGTCTTTGAAGTTCTATGTTATCAAGTAACAGGCAGGCTGGAATCAACCATCAAATGTTGGCCAAAGCTCTATCCGTGGCATTTAGACCATCTTTCTGGCAAGTCTTAATTTCTTAGCTTTAACTTACAGATGAAAAGCAGTTTATCAGTCTTTGCTGGTCATTCTCTATACATAGGCATATGTTTCATTGCATACCTTGAGCAGAAAAGTGTATTCATCCAATTCTATCTCCGATAGAAATTAAAGGCCATCTAAACCATTTCCAAGAATTCTCTTTAATGCTCAACATTCTAACAGATTTGAAAACCACAGATGTCACAAAGGTGTGATACACTATCACACAGCTATCAAATACTACAGCTTATCAATGCTCAGCTATGAAATATTAAAACCAAATTGTCCTAAAGGTTCAGAAAAAAACTGGATTTTCTTGTTTTCTCCTTGAAAACATTTCACTTCTTATCCAAGAAGCTTCTTCAGGTCTGACAGGATGGTGGGGAATGGAAGGATTTATATGCCTTGCACACAGAGATGGGATCCGACCAGTATATCTACTGGTTCTGTTGCTCTGCATTGTGCGCGCATGCAGCTGCAGTTGAAAACGCAGGAAATAAAGGTCAGGTAAGAGCCCAGGTGGGTGGGTGGGCCAAAACAGCAGCAAACATAGAACCGGTTCTATGTATGCTTTCTGTCTGCTGCTCTTCAGAGCAACCAGTTCTATGGAAGTAGACAGAACCAGTAGAATCCCACCCCTGCTTGCACACAGCTGGTAATTTGCATCCTTTTAGAAAGCCATTGAGGCACTTAGAGGTTTATCTGTGTCCTCAGGGTCACCTGAGTAGTGCAAATGGTTTCTGTAGATTGCATTTTTTTAGAAATCCATTTGGGACGGATTTTCAAAAAATTGCAAAAAATACAAAATAAACATCCAAGTGCCTCAATGACTCTCTAAAAGGATGCAAATGACTAGCTGTTTGCAAGGAATATAAATCCTTCCATTCCCCACTATCCTGTCAGAGCTGAAGAAGCTGAAGAAGCTTTTTGGATGAGAAATGAAATGTCTTCAAAGAAAAAACAAGAAAGTCCACTTTTCTCCTGAAAAAGCACCTTTGGAACAACCATGAGTATCTCCATAAACTATTAAAACCAAACCAAAGTTAAATAATCCATGTTGAAACTATCTAAGCACATAGAGTTATGGAGAATATTCAGCATTAGTCTTTAGAAAGCAAAAGGAAGAATAACTGAAGAAAGTTCTCTTAACATTCTTTATTGTGGCTCTTAGAAATAACAGGCCACACTACTTTCCCTGACTAGCCCCAGAAAGTAAAATGAGGCATGGAAACTGTTCCATTCACACTCATAACAGAGTTTGTCAGAAACAGGGGAATTTGAGAAACTGCTTACTATTTGACACCAAAGTCAGTTTGCTCCCACTTGCCATCAGAACTGGATTTAGGTCAGATATTGGACTTGCAGTCATTATATTTCCACCAATAGCCTGAAAGAAAATGTAGCACAGACATATCTTAGAAATTAGGTCAACAAACCTCATTAAAATCACTTATCAAAGTAAGTATAGTTTAACTTTATACCATTAAAATTAAAATGGGATTTTCTTGTCCTCAAATAGAACAAGAATAGGTTAAGGAAGCAATACAGCTCAAGGTAATTCATTTACGGTGCATGCTTTTACAACGAGCTAAATGTTTTTTTTCATGCAGTTAACAACTGATGGATTTAAACAATGATTTACATTTTAATTTGTTATTCTAAATTGTACTTGAGTGGGTGAATATAAAGACATTTAATAAATTATTTAATTTTACTGTTTCTGTTAAAACTTCTGGCCATTTAACATGTCCCAGCAAAGAAAATATATAGTCAAATCTGATTTATCAGTTCAAAAACCATTACTCATTTTCAGTCTAAAATATATCTCTCTGGCCTGAAGGTTGGTATAAATTAAAAGATATGCTTCTCCTAAGCTGACATTTCCTCTGAAGATTTGTTCAAACTAAGGCATACACAAGAAGATTCACTGATCAGTTTGAATTTACCAAATAATGAGAAATCTTATTGCCTTGTAGGCTTGTTCTCTTTATGCATGGTACATGAATTATTCTATTAGGAACAAAAATATTCAATTTCTAGTCTACATTTAGCACAGAAATTCACTGGATGGCTTGGATCCAGCTATTAATTTTCAGACTTCTTGGCATATAATTTAAGGGAAGTTGAAATACTTTTGCAACAAAGGGCGCTTACATGATCATTTGCTACACAATTCCCTGAGGTCATGCATTGTTGCCCTCCATGAACCTTATAGGGAGAGCCAGAAGGAACATCAACATGTCTAGTAACTTGTATATGTAGGTATTCTGGCTGTGAAAACTATCTAGGCCAGTCTTGACAACCTCAACGCCACAACTTAAAGTTGTCAAGGTTAAAAAACACTGGTCTAGACATTCAGAAGCAGATGAAGTTGTGTAACTGTGAAATTAAGTCAATAGACAAGCCCAGACAAGCCCAGGATTATGAGGAAGTATTACGTGATGGATAATAAAATAAATTGGGATATAAACGTGTAGAGGGAGATACATTTTAAAGGAACTATAGAGATTCTCAGTCATCCAGGTCATGATTGTCCCAAAATGCTTTTTCAGGAGACAACTGGACTTTCTTGTTTTTTCTTTGAAGACATTTCCCTTCTCACCCATGAAGCTTCTGGGCTGAGAAGCAAAACATCTTCAAAGAAAAAATAAGAAAGTCCAATTGTCTCCTGGAAAAGCACCTTTGGGATTTTAAAGGAATGGTACATCCTACCTGCCTGTGTTGTCTCCTTCCTTTATCAGAAACTATTTGGAAGCACTTACTGCAACATTGCGGATCTGAGGGCCTGCAAACCATCTCAGTTGTTCTAGGACAGCTTGGAAGACCTCTACTTGGTAAGAAGGAAAATGGGCCACTGCCTCCCTGAGTTTCTCTTCCACATAGCTCAGGCTGCAGGAGGCACCAAATCTGATTCCTGTAAAACCAGAAACAGGAGCGATTTGACCAAATGGACCTTCACCAAGATAAAAGTATTGCTCTCAGTAGCTGAACTGAATAATTTTTAGGTCTTTAGTCTCCTCCTTTTATTATGGTTTATTTAAAAAAAAACCAAGAAAGGTTTTATTTCCTGCATATCTTATAAGGATGTATACTTGACTTAGCAAGGAAGCAATCTGAAGGTCATGGTGGATGGGGCTATATCACATATTTGGGGTAGAAAAACCAGTTTGAGAGATTCTTTTAAAACTGTGACATGCTTATTTTCCAATGTACATTACATATTTGTTGTATTTCTCCCCTGAAAACAGGAAAAATTGGGGCACTGACTTTCAGCAATCATAGTGGCAAATCTGAAAGCAACTCTGAAAAGTTGGGGAGTAGAAATTACAGGTTGATCCCTTTCAGGAGAAGCTAGAGTATCTAAAATTACTGCTGTTAAAAAGGGTGCAAGTGTTCTCAGTATGCCAAGATGTTCATTTTCCAGCAGTTATCAGATTTTAGATGATACATACCAGTTCTACCATTACAAGAAAGTGAGTAAACCTGTGGTTATGCAGCAAATCATCCCTTTAAAAACTTTTATTACATTTGGAATAAGTGAGTATATATGTTTTATTAGTTCAATGCAAATATATGCAATGCAAATGATTTTCTAAAGAAATCATTTGGATTGTGATATGTGCATGTGTATGTAAGTCTCTGATCAATTTCTGAAGAACAAACCAGGTTGTTCACCTAAAACAGAGGCTTCTGGACAATTAATGCCACCTGATCCCAAGTCTTCATTCAGAAATTTGGCCATATGCTCTTGGATAGGTTATCCCAACCAGGCACACTGTAATTTGCGTTAGAATTGTAGTTCCTGGAATTCCCAGCCAATCTGATTGTTCTAAGGCAGGGGTGTCAAAAACAAGGCCCAAAGGCCGAATCTGGCCAGCAATATGGTTAAATCTGGTCTGCTGGACCATCTTGGAAAATGTAAGGGGTCAATCCATGTCACTTCAGCCCAGTCTGCCCAATGCAAAGAGGAAACATCGGGCCAGCATGGCTTCGGCCCAGTCTACCCAATGCAAAGAGGAAACATATCCATAGTTTGGGAAGTTGCATCAAGCTGGCCCTACCCACCCAGTCGGCCATGTCCTCAATGAAATTGAGTTTGACACCCCTGTTCTAAGGCTTGCTCCAATGTGGTCTTCGGCTCCACTTGCTGTATCTGATTTGGCAATGTGCTCTACTTGCAATTTTCCCAGAAGGTCCTAGAAAAATGTCCTCGAGAGAATGCTATTCCCTGCCCATCCGGGCTTCTGTTGCTTGTTTGAACAGTACCACTTTTGCATTTTTCAATAGATTACTTCACCAGCCAATCTCACTATTTCAGAAGACAAACATATTGAGAAATTGTGGCTGGCAAAAGTTTCAAGTGACTTCTGAATTTGGTTGGAACCTTTCCTTGGAGTGCAATCAGTATATCATGAACAAAGAGAGGCTACAAGTGCAAAGGGAGGAGAACTGCCACCCAACTTTTTTTTAAATCATGGCTTGTAAACATTTCCTTGTGCATTTCAAGCACCTCTTGCCAATCCCTTGAGGCAACAGGCAAACTACTTACCCTCTTCTGTGTGCTGAACAGAGTTCATTTCTGGGATCCAAGTTGGGGCTATAATGACAGGGTACAGCATGTTCTTTAATCTCATTTCAATACCTGAAGAAAAAAAAATCCAAAGAGATCAGTGCAGAGGCAGCCAACCAACAGTTGTAAATCTGCCAATGAAACAATAAAGTTCTTATATAAAAGACTTCCAGAACAGTGGATCTCATCTCAGTGAGATGAGATTCCTAAAGCAATCTCCATAGCCAATTCCTGCATGTCTAACTTGCATTGACTTGTAATGAATGTATAAAGCCAAGAATTTTCCCTTCTGCTTCACACATTCCCAAATATTGTACCTCCAAGGGAGTATGGAGAAAATTGTTAATGGGTGACAAAAAGTGATTGAGAACTTATTTTGATTGTATATATGTCAAATGCAAGGTCTGAGGGCTGCATCCAGCCCACAATGTGGTTGGATCCGGCCTGTGAGGCCTTTCTGGTCTACCCAATGTGAAAAGGAAAGATCGGGCCAGCCTGGCTTCGGCCTGGTCTGCCAATGTGAAGAGGAAACATGCCAGTAGTTTGGGGAGTGGTGTCAAACTAGCCATGCCCACCTAGTTGGTCACACCTACCCAGTCGGCCACACACAGCCGGCCCCCCAAGGTCAACCACAGCCCTGATGCAGCCCTCAAAGAAATTGAGTTTGACACCCCTGGTATATATTGTTTTGAGGCATTCCTATAGAGAAAAAAATGGTTCCAGCTATGGGATCACACAAGGATCCCACAAACATATGAAGCTTGATGGATTAAGAGAGGGCATTTAGTGTCCTTACACCCAGTATTCAATATCAAATTTCCCCAAAATTAGACGTAAAGCTACAAACTACAGTCATATTCACTAAATAAACTGCATTAACAAATCATACAATTTGTTAACTATTACAAATGATAGTGGTTGGATTCCTATTACTAACCATATTATGGCTTAATACACATGTTAACCCAGGTTGTGGGGAACAGGAACACTAGTATTAATTCATTATAAATGTTAATAATTATCTTTAAAACAGAATTCCTGTTTTAAATGTGTATAAAATTGCAGCCTGAAGGGTGATGCAAGGGACTTTATTTGATATTATGAAAGAAGAAGTAAAATCTTGACTGGTCAGCCAATTATATAGTGCTATGTTTATGTTTGTGTTGTTCAACAGAAAACAGAGTTGGTCTTCTTACCCACTTCTGTGTTCCCTACTACAAGCTTGGCGTTGGGGTGCTGAGCTTTCAGAGAAACAAGTTCCTTGAGCGTTGATGGTTGCAACCACATCACTCGCTCGCCTTTGAAACACAGTTGCTCAACAGGGTTTTTCTGTGTCTATAGAGAAAAGGCCAGATTTAGCTTCTTGTAAAAAACATGGCATCACGAAGCAAGCAATCTCAATTTGGCATGATGGAGAAGAGAAGGGTTGCATTATAGCTGCAGCTACTATTTCCAGTGAGTGACAGGCTTCAGGTTTCTTTGCAACAAGAAGCATCACAGGCGTCTTTCTATGATGTTAATAAATCTTATTATAAATCATCATCCAGTTGGGTATTTGTAAGTGGGAGGGGCAAGAGGTCTCCAAGATCTATCTGCAACAAAGCTTGAGGCAGTGTAGTTTGAGAAATACTAGCTTTTGTTTACCAAAGTTCTTTGCCCCTGGTCTCTGGCAAGGCTGCACCAAAGCCCTGTTGGTTGCAGGCGAGTAAGGCAGAACTTAAGGAAATTGGTTCCAGTGTTTTACTCTTTATGGTGGTTAGAATGCAGAATTGCAGGCTAACTGTGCCTGGAGTTCAATTCTGACAGGGCCCAATTAAGCCTTCCAACCTTCCCAAGTCAATAAAATGAGGAGCCTGATTGTTGGTGGGCAATAGGCTGACATTGTAAATCACTGAGTGTGCTGCAATATATAATATCATATATGTATATCACTATGGGGTATATATAAATCTAAAAGCTATTGCTATTACTAAGCAAATCATTTCATAGTGGTTTGGGTTAAAGTTAGACATAGAAATAAATATACCATCTGCATTTAATAATTAATTTCAAATTGTATATAAGTAAAATAATGATAGAACATTGCAACTTTATAAAATGAAAACTTTTCATTTGTAAAACAAAATTAAAACCATGTTTTGTTTTATTTGGATGGGAAAAATTATCTTAGCTTTGTGTGGTTCCCAAAATCTGAATTTTTAGACAACCATTCACATTTTTCATTCCATTGTTTCAGACAGATATATGGCAGTTCTGCCATGGAATGAAACCCTAAAATCACTGTAACACAATTTGCCCAACCTATTTTTGTCACCACAGAAATCTATCATGTCATGTTCTATGCTCTCCATTTCATGGAATCTCATAAAATAATACAATTGTTGTATTGGTTTTAAATCCACCTACTTTCTAATATAAGATTTAATTTGAAGATGTTATAGAATGGGATTTGAAATCAATTGTCCATTGCTTATCCACACATGGTTCTCTCATCTTCATACATGGACATTTTTTTTTATTTAAGGCAGCAGGAATCCTATTTATTTGTTTGTTTACTTACTTGTTTAGTTATTTCTGTGTTGCCATAATTAAAATGATTCTTGATTAATCATAAAGAAAAAAATACAGCATAAAATAAGTTCCATAAGAAAATAAAAACAAAAGATCACTGTAAAAGTACAAAGAAAATAAAAACATGGCAACATGAAATCAAATCAGGGGAGACCCTCTGAACAGCTCATTCTTTAAATGCCTTTAAAAGACCAGCAAAGACAGAGCCTTTATGGTCATACTGTAGATATATATTTTCTTGCTGCTACCTTCTTCTAGGATTTTTTTCATTATTATTATTTTTACTTCCCAATATAATCTACAATTCCAGGATTCCCTGAAGATCTCCCGAGTACAGCTACCTTGCTTAAGCAAGATCAGGATGCCAAATGCCTGAATACAAAATTTCTGAATAATGGGACAAATTGCTTGACTAAGGTGAATAGATAGCTTCAATGCTAAAAGGAGACAGATATCCTCCATCAGTTCTTTCCTAGTCAGGACCCAGGCACAATTCAACCCCTGTACAGGACACTATCCTGTATTAATGTTCTGTGACATAACAAGCTTACATAATCAGAGGAATTACAAATCTTTTTCAGCAGTCAACTGTTGCTTAATGCCTTGGGTCATTTGCACTGCAAACTGTTAGTGATAACATTTCTCATCCTATCTGAGAGTATTTGCTTTAAGATTAAACAGTGATGAATCAAGGACTCCCAATTTGCATATCATCGTTGACCCATTTTCTTCTTTTTTACATAACCAAACAACCTTTTTTCTTCCTCCTTCTCTCTCTCCAGCTCTATATAGTTCCTAATTCACCACTGAAACGTATCAAGAAAAAAAAACTGATGACATAACCTTTAAGTGAGCTCCAGACAATGTATCTAAGTTTAAAGTGGTGCCTTCCAAATACATTGACAGAGTCTTAGTTTATGGGTGAAAATCAACAATACCAAAATCTTCCATAAGGAAATTCAATTAGCTTGGCTGGGAAAAGGAAACTCACCAATAACTCAGGTGGGAATATAGGCTCCTGGGTAGGGTCTAAAGGCTGGAACTCAGATGCATTGAACAGAATTGTGGTAATCAGTCCCTGCAGAACAAAAGCAATGTATATATATTAGACAACCCAAGATCCAGCAGATCATTGTTTCAGAGATATTTTCTTACCTAAACAGAGAAACAGCATGATCAGGGGAAAAAGAAGTGGGAGTAGAAGCAGGTTCTGACCAGTTCTGGAGAACCGGTAGCAGAAATTTTGAGTAGTTTGGGGAACTGGCAAATATCACCTCTGACTGGCCCCACCCCCAACTATTCCCTGCCTTCCAAATCCCAGCTGATCGGCTGGGTCTTCTTTTGCTGCCCTACACAGGAGAACAGAGCTGGAAAGCAGGTTAGTGGGGTGAGGTGGGGAGGGATTGGGGATTTTGCAGTATCCTTCCCCCAGGAATGTGGAGGGAATGAGGATCTTATAGTATCCTTCCCCTGCCGTGCCCACCAAGCAACGCCCACCAAGCCATGCCAGGCCCACCAAGCCACGCCCACAGAACCGGTAGTAAAAAAAATTTAACCCCGCCACTGAGTAGAAGTGACTTCTGACTTCTTACCAGCTTACACAGCTGACTGCCCTTTAGCAGCCAATGGTGACACCAGCTAGGCTGAGACTGTTCTACCTGATCTCCAGTGGCTGAAAAGAGGAGTCAATCTACCTAGCTTCCAGAAGACTTGGCAGCGACCGGTCTACCAAATTTCTGGATGGTGGTGCAGCAGTGCAGTACAAATTTGTGACAACAAATTTGCCAAATTTCACTGGTGTCATGGGTCCCAGGTTTTGGACACATTCAGTAAATTAAGCCATTTGAGGTGCCTTAGTTCAAAATTTGTTGCCCCTATGATGCATTGTTTCACCTAATTAAAGATTACAGAAACGAAAGAGACATACAAACTAGAACTAAGGAAAAATTTTTCTAATAGTGAGTACAATTAACATGTGGAATGCCCTGCCTTCTGAAGATGTGGGTGCCCCATCACTGTTATTCTGTGCTCTAAAGAGTTATAGTAGTATAAAATTAAACAATATTGTACTATTAAAATTATTTTCATGTTTTTTTATTTCTGAATTTTTATTTCTGATACCCAAAAGCTGAGCATGAATAGATTCTGCTTCTTTCATTGTACAATAATCCCTTCCATGATCTGCAGTCTCTCTGACTTCACACATTGCATTAAATCCAAAGGAAGATCTCACAGGATCTTCCCAATGGGGTTCCCACTAGGGTTTTCCAGTTAAACAATCCCACTGTCACCAATAAGGGGAAGTCTTAGGTGTTATTGGAGGTAATTGTAAAGTATTATATATTAAGTATGCAGTGCTATGCATGTTCACTCAGTAGTAAATTTTATGATATATAGGACATACATTAAAATTAAAAGGTAAAGGTTTCTCCTGTCTAGTTACGTCCAACTCTAGGGGCTAGGGGGCAATGTTTATCTCCATTTTTTGCCACAGGAGCCAGCATTATGTGAAGACATTCCCATGGTCATGTGGCTAGCATGACTATACACCAAGGTGCATAGAAGGCTGTTATCTTCCCACTGAAGTAGTACCTATTTATCTACTCACATCTGCATGCTTTCATACTGCTAGGTGGGCAGATGCTGGGACCAGAACCGGAGCTCACCCTGTCATGCGTTGCTTGGGGTTCAAACTTGAGCTGTCAGCTTTCCTGCTGACAAGCTCAGTGACTTAACCTCTGAACCACTGCATCCCCCTGACACCAAATTAGTTAGCACCTAATTGTCAGGGCTTTTAACATGTGATATGGCAAATCAGAATACATGAAAAGGTTCAGTAGTCACTCCTTGTTTCCAAATAATCCTGGAATTATAATTATGGAAACACTGAGAATCTTTAACAGAATCTCCAATATTCTCAACAGTTATATTTCTGTTTATTTTGTGGGGGAGGAAGATGTGGCCTTTAAATTGTTTTTTTAATAAATTCATTATTTCAGGGGTGATAAGGAATCCAGTTACAAGAAATTACTTAACATTAAAGCAAATATTATTTAATTATTACATATTATTTAATAATATTTAATATATTAAATATTATTTTATTTCCTTCAGAAATACTAAGTTGAAAGGCACCCAACTGTCGCTTATGCCATTTACCTCATTTTTTTCCTTTCCAGCCATACAGCAACCTTCTCCGTTTACTAGTTTTCCACAGCATCCTCCTTCCTAAATAGAAATAGGAAGATATAGAAATATGTCTAAATAAACTATGGAGCACATATGAAAGAACTTGCAAATATTTGAAGAGTTGTGCTGGATCAGATTCAAGTGTCATGGATAAAAGATAGGGTTTGGGCTGAAGACACTGAGCTTTAAGTCCCCATTCCACCATAGAATCGCTTTGAACCAATTATTCTCTCTCACCCTAATGTAAAGTAAGAATTAAATCAGGAGAGATACCAGTGTCAGTTATCCTGAGTTCTCACAGAAAAGGTAGGCTATTAAGGCAATAACAACAATAACAACAAATCAACAATCCATTCCCATGGTAGACAGTTATTGATTTATTTTGTACCTGGTTTTTTATTATACAAGAAATCAAATCAGTTTACACCAATAAAAGCAATATTAAACCAATGCAAATAAAATATGAAAAATTAAAATTGAGAGCCAGTTTGTCTAGTGGTCAAGGTGTTGGCCTAGAAACCAGGAGACAGTGAGTTCTAGTCCCATCTTAAACATGAAAGCCAGATGCGTGATTTGGGGGCAGTCGCTCTCTCTCACCCCAATTCATCTCCTCAAGGAAAGCACTTCATAGGTTGGGAGCCACACAGAAGACCCTCCACCATGTATCAGCAAGCTGGGGCATCTTTAAAAATGTCTCTCCTGGTAGGCAGGTTGATACTTGGGAACGCAGTCCCTCAAATCGTCAAGTCCTAACCAATATTTAACTTGTGCCCCACAAGCAAGTAGCAATTATTGTAGATTATTCTACACGGGCAGGTGATCCCCATACTTTCCATCAGTTAGCAGTTAGGAAGCAGTTGTGATTTCTGAACATTCTTGAGGGGTAACCCCTCATAGAGTGCAAAGCATAGCCACAATAAGTTGAAAGCAAGATGTGAAGAACTGTCACCATATTGCAGAAAGAATTGCAGTTGATGTACTATTTATAGTTGTGCAAGCATGTGCCTCACCACAAATCTACCACCTATAAATCTAATTACAAATAAATGACAAGGACAATTCCCTAAAGTATAGTGCCACCCCAGGCTTTACTGCAACCCCCAAATGCACTTTGTTTGTTTTTTGGTAACAGGGTTACTGTCTTGCCTGAGTATAATTTTAGCACGTTCCCTCACTTACCCCATTTTCCAATGGGGTTCCAGAATGTTCCAGAATATTTTCTTGGAATCGGATGATAATGAGAAACAAAATTGGGTATCATTGGCCTCTAAAACTCATACCTCAGTGATTCTATGGAGACACCATAGGGAACAACATTGAAATTGAAAACCAGCCCAGTAGGAGATAGTGGCAAATTACTTCAGTACTATTGTCAGGTAAGCTACATAGACATGTCTATGAAGGAATCAGAACTTTAGCTGGAGTTAAAGCAGATTGCATCTTCACGTTCACTTGGAAAAGTCAGTCTGATTCCATCACCAAGACATTTTATCTTTAGCCCCTCACCTTTGCAAATGTTCTGTACCCTTCCAGGATGGGTCTGTATCCTGTACAGCGGCAGAGATTTCCTATGTTGCCAAATCAAGTTGAAAAAGTTAACAGGCACATAGAACATAATAGAAAGAAGGTTATTTTAGTTTTTGCTTTTCATCGACCATGGAAATTCATTTTTTTTCTTCCAAGAAAGAAAACTGCCAATAGAGAAAAGAATAATTGTCTCTGGGGCTTTGATAATTTTGGAAAACAGAATTCCAGTGTCAAAAGACATGACAACAAATTCACCGAGTCATGAGAGATCAACCTTATCATTTTCAAATGTATTTCTTACTTTATTCCATGATGAAAAGTAATTGTGCCAATAAGGATGGGAGTTGTGGTCTACTGTGTCTGGCAATCTTACCTTGAAAAGCATCTTCAATCTCTTCCATTTTAGGCTGAGGATGATTACGAAGCAATGTATACATGGACATGACAATCCCAGGAGTGCAGAAACCACACTGTGATCCGTGGCTTTTGGCTATTCTCTCCTAGAAGAAGAATTGGTTCATAAAATATGCCATGACAAATCAACTTACTTTTAGTGACAGGTGTGAAAACACCGAGTCTCTGGTCTGGGTCATACATCACATTATATATAAATAGTAGGTCTTCGTGTATTGTGTAGTATATGAACTGCCAATTGTTCATACAATGAACTATAGCTTAATTTAATCTGTGAACAAATATGTATTTGTTAACACATAGTCATATCTCCCCAGTTCACCTGTACAGGGTGCAGCCTTGTCTTTGTGCTTCCGATGCCTTCCACAGTGGTTACAGCTACATGGTGTAGAGCGCAGATAGGGAATAAACATGCATTTGCAGAATAATGTCTGGAGAAATGAATTAAGGAAGTTGCTTGCTTTACAAAATCTTCATTTTCCTAAAGAAGTACAATAAAATCAATGAAAGCCAGTGTTCAGGATTACGCAGTCTCATACCAGAACTGGAATACAGTTAGATACATGGGTATCATCCCAATGTTTTAGAAGACGATGCCTTTCCATTGGTTATGCTGATTGGGCCTGATGAAAGTTGAAATCATAGGCAAACATTGGCCAAAAGATGTAGCTTCTGATTACCAGCACCATTATTGGATAAAGATGTAGAAAGTAAATGGGAAGGAGAATAAACTGACATCAGGAAAATGATATTATCATTATCTTCCTTCAGAAGATCATAGTTCACTGTAATTCACTGAAATCTGGCAAATATTAATTTAAGAGACCAGAGTTGAAAACTACAGTGATTTTAATAAATGCTATTGGACACGACTTCACAACTAACAACAATCTAATGCTTCAGTAGTACTAAAATATTAGCAGAATTATGAGACAAATTTGAATGTTGAAACTTTAAATTCTATGGAACTTCAGGATTTATGGAATCACAAAACCGTAAGGCTGGAAGAGACCCTGTAAATCTTCTAATCCAAGCTGAAATGTAATGGATTAGAAATGTTGGGGAAAGTTAGTCCTACTAATATTTGTCCCAAAGGTGCTTTTTTCAGGAGGCAATTTGACTTTCTTGTTTTTCTTTGAAGATGTTTTACTTCTCATCCAAGAAGCTTCTTCAGCTCTGACTGGATAATGGAGAATGGAAAGATTTATATTCCTTTGAATTGTTTGCATTGTTTTAGAGAGTCATTGAGGCCATTTGGAGGTTTATGACCTGGATAACTGAAAATCTCCATAGGCTCCTACTAATAATCCATACAATTATGGCACGGTACTATATTCACATAGCTCTAACACATATCTGTACATGAAGCAGATTTTGCAAAATATTTACTATTCCTTGTGTGCAATCTTTTCTTGACCTGCAAAGGAATTTCGAGAGAGACAGATTGTTTCTGATAAGCACTTATTCCCAAATATCCAGCATCTGCCCTGTCTATCACAAATTCTGCACACCCATATTCAAAACCTCTTCCATCTTAGTGAATGGGGTAGAAAGGATACATGATTTTTTTTCGGGAGTTGTCAACCTTGGAAATCATGACTGTGCAAGCACCACAGCCTCCTTCTCCACAGCCCAGCTTGGTTCCACACAAGCCCACTAAGAGGGTAGAGCTTAAGGAAAATGTACCAGCGTGGCTATTTGCATACAGTCCTTTATCATTGAAAGTCTCTGGTCCTGGTAACAAGCTTGCATTGTGGTTCATAAGAGCAGGCTAAAAAAATCTGCCTTTCTTTTTTTAAAGAAAAGCTATCTGGGTTTATTTTACATGTATTCCCTGATGGGAAAACTGATTTTCATGTATAGGATTTAATTAATTGATTTTAAAAATTACACAAGTATTGAACAAGAATAGACTACATTGGCTATAGACTCCTGGAATATGTTCACACAATATGCTTAACTTGATTACTGGATTCAGAGAATATATCAAATCATAAACTAACCAAAATCATCAAGGCACAAATCATAAACTAACCAAAATCACCAAGGCACAAAAGCTAATAAAGATTAAAACAAATAATATATTTTAAAATTTTAATATTACCATATTTAGAAACCACTCATCTCCCTCACAGGGGCACCTTGGCTGGTATTTCTTGCAAGTGATGTAAGCACAGCCTCCAATTATTAACTTATTTGGTTTGTATGTCAACAAGCACAGCCAATACTGGCACATGACCTTCTCTTTTCAGTTCTTCAAGCAAGTCTTTAAGTCAAATTAGTTCTAAGCTGCTTTTTGCTAATCAGTGTTTTTTTGTTGATGGCTTTTTGAGAGTTTATGCTAATTTAATATGTTGAGTATAAAACTGGATACAAAGCTGGAAGTCTCATAATATGCCTCTTTTATGGTTTTGTGATTAATATGTCCAACTTTAAGTATGTGTATATTCTTAAATAAACACAATTTTATTCTTTTTTAATTGCTGAAGAGGATCAGCTGGTGAAAAAGGAATAATTGATTTACATGCACTAGATATATATTTTGTTCTACACATATGACTAAAAAAATCAGATTAGGCATGAATTTTGCATCACAGAAGTCAAGGAATGTATATTTCTAGTAAAATATATGATGTTCCACTTGGAAACATTCTTAATGTAATTATACTAAGCAATCATTTATTCATGGCAACACTACTCAACTTTTTATGAAAAACAAATAAACTGGACCCTAACAGATGAACTTTCTCCAATAGTCTGCTCTTCTTTCCTGGTCCCTCTTTCAGCATCTAAGATTAACTATGATGTAAGCATTAATATGCTAGTTATTTTAAACAAGAGAGAAAGCTTAGACTTAACCCAAACCAGTGAATTAATCCCCTTAAATTAGCTACCCTATCCCTTCCTACCTCCTGAATTTCTGATATCCAAATTGAACTCCCTGGTTCATTTACTGCAGGAAAGAAGCATTGAATCATTACCTACAACAGAAAACAGATCCCAGCAAGGGCCACATTCTTTAACACACATGCCAATGATTTATTTAGGTTCGCTCAATCCAGATTTCTGAGCTCCAAATCCACATTTATTGCCTAAGCTAGATTTGTGCAACTTAAATGTAGTTGTTAGTTTGTAGTTGGGCATCAGGTGACCACAACTAGATTTAATTCATGAGAAAAAGAAAGGTAAAGACATCTTTGCAGCACCTGGCATTTTGTCTGGCAGTTTATTGAAGCCTTATTACATTATCCGGGAAATGTATTTTAGCAAAAGGTGTATGCCTGCCACTCCTTAGGAAAACTATTGTTGTTAGGCAACAGATACTGGAGGAAGAGCAGTCATCCTTCATATCCTCCAGTAATGGCCAGCTGTAACCAACAGTTATTGCAACTGGCGGCTGTATAGAAGAATTTAGGATTTGATAATAAGGGATCAGCTGATAAGTAGGAGGTAAGAAGGATTGGGTAGTTGATGGGGCATTGCTTGTGCATTTTGAAATCAGCCATGCTATTTTCCAGGTTAGGCATTGATTTTCCAACATAGGAATCAATGAAAGTAGAAGTAGCTCAGCTTCTTTTGTATTATTCCAATGCAAGACAGAGATGAAAGTTATCCATCTTCTCACACAGAGATTTTACTATCAGTTATGAATGTGTTTTCATTCAGTTTAATTCTGGCAAAACTAAAATATTGGGAAGAACAAAACTAGCAGGCATGAAATCCTCAGAAATCTTTAAACTTATTCTACTGTATGGTCTGCTCCTGAATCCTTAGGCCACCTGGAAATATACGGACTATTTTAAATTCCATGCAGTGCATGATTCTTGAGCATAGATACGTTTCCTTCTAAGGTAGGTCAGCAAAGTAGTTTCTGGATCCACATTCTTTTCCACTATCTAAAAAGAAAAAAGAAAAATAGTTTCGTAAAACATATTTAACTATAAATACATATGTATGCTGCAGCTAACAAACAAACTGATATCATCCATCAGCATCTGATTACATTGTAGAAGTCAGAACATTCCACCATTTGTGAGTGAATTTCACAAACCACCCAGTCTCTTTGATTAAGTACCATTTCTTTCTTTTTTTTGTAAATTTTATTTGAGTTTTCACAAAAAAAATACAAATAAAACATCTTTTTTGAAAGTAGCATGATCCCGGGTTGCATTTCTTTGTACAGACACAAATTCAACTTGATGCTCATTTTTATGTTCTATTCCATATCTTATTACTGTTTTACATTTTCGACATAGCTTCTCCCCTCTTTTAATTTTCTCAATTTTATTTTAATTATCTTGTCTCAATTCAAATCATTATATTTGTATTTTTTGTCTGTCCTGTTTCAATTTCATATTATCTTTTCTTATTAAACAAAGTTTCTCCTGTAGTTGCTAATTGGAGTATGACACCTTTATATCTTTAAAGTTTATCCATCTAACTCTTATTTAGGTTTCAATATATACCTTAAAATTTTAACATTCAATATAATACATAACTTCCATTCGGATTCTGCTTGGTACATTCTTAAAATACATACTATATTCTTTTTAAAAAAGATTATAAATATATGTAATTAAAACAACACATTCCATTCCAATTCAATTCTATCATTAATTCATTAAAATCTTAACTTCTTTAACATTACTTTTCAATTAAATATCATACTTCTATGGGAACAGTTATAAGCTTACCTTGATTAATCCCCCCTCTTCACTTATATTTTATAAAGCATTAACTAATTAAAATGTTCCCGTCCCTTCCTAATTCAATTTTCTCATTTATTTTATTAACAAACTATTTTATCCCTTATTTTAATCACGCATTATTTCCAATTTTCTAAAATTATTTCTATTACTAATATAACAATACAATCTTATGTACCTTTTTCAGTTAAATTTTCACCCATTATCTCTAAATAGGCCCTGTTTCTCTATGTCTTGTTTCAGTCCTTTGTAACTTCTTTTCCTTTCCTTCTTCCCTCTCTTCTCTCTCCCCTTTTTACCCCCTTGTCTCTCTACCTCCATTTCTCTCTTCTGTATTCCCCTCTACTGTTGCTTTCCAATATTGTACTTCTTTTTCAAATTATTTTTCTTTTCTTTGGTTGTTTTTTTAAGTCTTAAATTCTCCATTCTCTTTCCCACCTTTCCTTTTTCTTCCTCACATAGAATTACTTGTTCATTAAAGATGACTTCTTCTTTGTCCCAGTCTTCTTGTTTTACAGACGTTTCTTGTTGTTTCTCATAGTTCCAAATCTCCATTTCTAAGAATTGAAAAACGAAGCCAAAAAACCCCTCCCTTCTTGTGCATCTTCTTTGTACCTTTTAAGTTCCATTTTCAATTCATCCAGAAGTAGTGCCATTGTATAAATTTTTAAACAACCACCCGATTAATTTTAGTCATTCAAGTGCAATAACCAAGAATCCAAAGATCACCAAGTAATCCAAATACACACAAGCTGTTTCTTTTTGCTTTTTTTTTTAACTTTCTCTTCCTGGGGCTCTACTGTTTAGTTAAAATTTCAGTTAAAATGTATCTTTTAGAAGTCTTGTTAAAGTTTTACTGTAGATTCCTTTCAATTCCAGGCAGTCTCCTCCCTCTTTCCAGATCCTGCCCTTTTATTTTTTTTTCTCTCCTTTCCTGCTTATGTAAAAAAAACATTAGTGTCCAGAAATCTTTGTTATCCCTTTGACATTTTGTTTTATTTTCAGCTTAATTGCCTGTTATTGTCAAAGCGGATTTTTCCGATTTCTTATTTAAGTCTCTTAGTTGTCAGTATAGGGAAAGGGAGAGAAGAAAGAAAAAACCAAACCTTTCCCTTTTCACTTTCCGTCGCTGCTTCAGACTCTTCTTTGGGAATGATGTTATTTTTTTGTAAATTTAATTTCCAGGGTACCTTAGTTGTTGCTTTTGCAATTTAACCCGGTCAGCCAAAACTTTCACTTCTTATCTTCCTCCTGCACATTCTTTTCTGGTCGAGTTCTTCTTTGAGGTGGCCATTTCTGACCACCACTGCAACCGCCTTCATGAAAGGGAGTAATGGCCAGCTGAGGAGGAGAGATGTGGCTCTCCTCAACCCTGCTGGCAGTCTCCCCCCTCTTCACCACCTCTACAGGGTAGCTTAGCCTCAAAACCAGCTGGCTCGGGGCGCTCCAGCGGCGAGCCCAGACTGAAACCGTGCACGATTGCGGATTTCTGTCTGTCGCCAAAGAAACTCAAAACTGGAAGCCCGATTAAGTACCATTTCTTAAAAGAAATATTCCTGCCCTTGAATCAAATAGCATTTATAATATACAACTCCAGATGACAATGATTTTTGGAGGTAATCAGGTTCAGGCCTGATCAATATTGGATAGGAGACATCAACATGTTGCAAGGCAATAGAAAGTCAAAACAAATTGTAGAAAATGACAAAAATAAATCAGTTTTGCATTATTGCCAAGCAAACATTTTGGATGTGTTTATGCAGTCACAAGGAGTTAAGCTCAGTTCAAGGTATATTTACTTTTGCCATGGTGTTCAAACAGGTTTTGGTGCCTTTTATCATTCATTTTTAAAAAGATTTCTTATATATTTCCTTGTTTTGATTTAGGTGTTAATAGTCTTACTGTTTAGTAGAAAGAATAACTTCAGCTTAAATAAATGGGCAATATTTTTAATTAAATTGTAGAATAAAAATCAACTAAGTTTTACCAAAAAAAAAACCTTGTACTAAACACCCTCTGTCACCCTCTGTCACCCACTGAGTGCTAGAAGTAACTCTAGAAATCACAAATTAGGTGTACTTTGTCTCCCTCGTCCAATGTAGTGTACTAGTTGCTCTATGTACAAAAAGCATAGGTTTTCAGTCACGAGCATGCAAAATGTACCAAGATCTGCATGGCACTATCTGTTCTGCTAACATTAACATAATTTCCTTCCTAATGGCAGTACAAGACTGAAAGACACCGAGTCAGGTTGTTTACTCTTCAAAGTAGATTTTATAGCACAGTTACACTGAACTCCTAGCCGCTAATCTTGCCCTACCTTTCTTGCTCTACCTTTCTTGCTCTACCTTTAAGCCAGATTTTTAATTGAATTATTTATCAGCATTTCTCTATAATAGTCCTTCTTGTTGATTCCTGATTATTTTCAATGTCTTTCTCTGGAAACTTTTCTGTAAGCTATTAAATATCTGCAGTGCCTAATATTGCATAACATGCAAAAATTAACAGTAGTTAATCATTTTATAGTTCAATAGATTGTATGAACCCAGACAGATGGATAACCATTGCACACTCATGGTTAAATGAACTCCTTTTCTAGGGTGGCACAGCAGTAAATTAAAATACAAATGAACCCCAAAAGTTGGATATAATAGGTTAAAATGTGAACTATAATTAGGCCGTTTGAGCAATTTCTAGCTGCTGGGCCCCTGTTGCTACTCACTAAACATGCAGTTTTTCTACCTTAGTTTCTTTAAGTGATATGTGGAAGATGAGATTTTGAGCAGGAGAAAATTTTGACCTTCTGAGCATAGCCAACTTAGTTTTAATTATTAACAATAAAGTTTATTTCTATCTTTTCAGACTAGAATCAATTACAAAACTGCTTTTCAGTTGAAAACTTTGATCCCGGGGTCAAAAAACCAAAAATTTACGCTTGCTTCTCTTCCTCACGAGATACTGAATTACTTTTGTTATTAACAGATTATGTGCTGAGTAGGTCACTGTGTGCTTTAAGTTGTGATGGTGATGATGCACACAAACTAAACATTTGTTAACATTCATTTTGCCTGGACTTGCAAGAATTTTAGGATAGACAAATGCACATTTCTTGGTATAATTTGGTTTACTGCTATAAAATGTGGCAATTAGTTAAGAAATTTTTGAGGAAATTGATACTGTCTTTACAAAACCATAATATTTTGTAGCAGTGTGCTCTTCAATAATAATTGCTGGGGAGGTAAGCACAGTCTGTGGAAGCAGAATGCTGGATTACATAAACCTTTGTGTTGATCGAGTAAGACTCAGTATAATGTTAAACAACAAGATCATAATTTCAAATTCTATTTCCTCCTGCATGTTCATTTGTTATGTTTTTAGGAACATAAAAGGAACTACTTGTCACATAAGGATTGAATCAGGACAAAGCTACATTCCTAACAAAAACAAAAAAACAAACCCCTTGTTGCTACTGCCATTGATTTAATGGGAGATCAATTTGCCACCAAGACTATCAGGTGGAAGAAAAAGTTTTGCCCCCAATTTCCTCAACTTTCCCAATCTAGTTTCTTCCACATAAGTAGGTCCTGCAATTCCCATAATTTCTAGCCAGCATCTATAGATCACCTGTTTTGGGAAAGCTGATTTATTGCATACGTACTCAAACAAAGTCAAGCCATTCATGTAATACAGGGATCTTCAAACTTGGCAAGTTTAAGACTTGTGGACTTCAACTCCCAGAATTCCTCCTCCAGTCATGGTAGCTCAGGAATTCTGGAAGTTGAAGTCCACAAGTCTTAAACTTGCCAAGTTTGAAGACCCTTGATGTAATACATCATTGGGACATTAAGCGTATAAGGAGTGGTAAAATAAATGCATATGGTCCTCCTTTAACTGCAGTAGCTATTTTTCTTTTTATATACCTTTATTACAAAATCAATACTAATCAAAAATTTCCAGTCAAATATAAGTGACATTATAGTCATGCTATAATGAAATGGAAAAATAGTATGATTTTGATTGTTGGTTTGAGAAGTTAGATGCTTAATGAACTTCAAATGATAATCAGATAACTAAATATAGGTAGTCCTCAACTTATGACCACAATTGAGCCCAATCCTCTGTTGTTAAGCAAGACAGTTGTTAAATGAATTTTGCCCCATTTTACAACTTTTCTGGCCACGTTTGTTAAGTGAATCAGTGCGATTGTTAAGCTAGTAATACGATTGCTAACTGAATCTGGCTTCTCCATTGACTTTCCTTGTCAGAAGGTTACAAAAGGTGACCACATGATCCTAGGACACACTGCAACCATCATAAATATCAAGCAGTTGTCAAATGTCTGAATTCTGATCACGTGACTTTGGGGATGCTGCAAAAGTTGTAAGTTTGAAAACATAGTCCAAAGTCACTTTTTTCAGTACTGTTCAGTCACTAAATGAATTTTTGTAAGTGTACGGACTACCTGTATTGTTTTTGGCTTGTTTTTTTTTTTACATCTTGTCAAATCCTCCTATCACTCATCATGGTGGCCTTGAAGTCAAACTATACCTGTATCATGTCTCCAAGGCATGCTGGAGCCGTGACACCACGCGTTGTGCCATGTCAGACTATGCTATTGAGGGGGGAAGTCCTGTTAACCACCCAACCCGGGGCTTCAACTGTTCGATGGAAATAATGAGCCTTGCTGACGTCACATGCTGAGCTGTTACAGCTTGCGGGCATTTGTAAACAAAGTGATTAGGATGCTGCCTGCTGATCTAGAAAGGGGTGGAGGGTACTTCATAGGCGTAAATACAATGATGGAATATGATAGTTTGTACAAGTATAGTAAATAGAGGTAAACAATTAATGGCTAAAAGCACGGTGTATAAGGTGTTACATGGTGATCGGATGTGATGCAGTAATGCTCCCCGGATGGTGGATAAACTCATTAAGTTAACTGTTGTATAAATACAGCTCTGGCTGTGAGGTGCACCAGAGCTGACTTTAATTCCTTTTGGTTACTCGTTGTTACCTGAATCCGGAGCATTGTATGGACGAATAAAGACTCATTTGATTATTACCTTGAGAGCTTTGTTTCCCTTCCTGTCTGGAATTTGGCGAAACAGCTGACAACCTGCTATTTACAATATCAGGCTGCCAAAAATAGAGACAAGGTAACCTTTCCCATCAACTGCAATATATTGTGTTCTGGTCAACTCATTCTCAGAGTTTGCTGAAATGCTCCATCTCTACTTTGTGCCTCTTCACCATCTTTCTGTTTTTGAAGGATCTGAAGAAACTTGCACCACAAAGCCTGTTTACGTCAAGGTGACTATCACAGAACTCATGCATCTTTTACTTACAGCCTGGACTCATTTTATGAAACAAGTAATCCAAATTATCTCCCAACCTTTTCTTGAGCTTGAGCTGCAAAATCAATACTGGCACCATTTCAGAGGATTTTTGACTCATGGAAAAGACACAGCTGATACTATATGGGGGGGAGGGAGGATTTGCAAGGGTTTCAGTTAATGTTTAATTCTGTGAAAGGCTGGAACAAACGCTTTTGCGCATTTTGTATCACGAGTCATTAACCTGTCTGTCAGCCAATATATTCAGTGTGGTTTTCAATTGGCCACCCTCTAAAGAAGATGTACATTGTGAATGCTGCCAGAATTGTTTACATGAAGACAAGGGCTCTAGAATCATCTAGATGAGTGGCCTGCTTGTAACTATCAATATATTGCCTATTCTGCTTGATCTGGTAGCAGCTCTTGAAGAATTCAAAAGGGGGAGGAGGAACTTTTCCAGATGTCTGGTAAGCTTTTTTAGTTAAAGATCTATGGGCTGAACAGGTCTTTCCTACATACAAAGACTACAGTCTTCCGAGCAATGATCTATTGGGACAGGACAAAAAGATGTTGGAACAGGACTATACTTTTCTCTTTATTTCAAGAAGCTCATAGTTAGAAAAAGACAAGGGAAAAGAAAAGACCTCCTCTGTTGGGATAATTGCTACAGAAATTTAAAGAAGCTGTGTTGATTGTGTCATTCTGCTCTCCGGTTTAATTAAGCACAAGCAAAAACAATATCCTCCTCTGACTACAGATTAATTCAGTTACAAACCACAGTGTTTTCAAGGAAGTAAGAACAGTGACTTTGTATGCATTGTTGATACAACCTACACAATCCCCATCCTGGCTGCGTGTCCCATTCATTAACTCTGTATGATAGCCCTATGGTAGAGCAATTGCTCTATATCTTTTTTTAAGGGAAGCATCAGTCAAATGCTCAGCCATAAAAGCAGAATTTGATCGTGTTATATGAGATTAATCTAATTCTAAGCTATTTATAAGGTTGCGAAAAGGGAGCTTTTAACTTTGTTTCAATTCATGAACTACATCCTGGCAGCCAGAGCATATTCTATGCAGAATCTGGCAGGAAAAATTTTCTGAAGCAAACCAGGACATTGCAATACAGTATATTTTTCTCTAAAATTCATCAGGAATGGAATAATCTACCTGTTCCTCCAGCTGCAGCCTGGAGCCTATCTGTTATTGGTAATCACTAACTTTTAATCTCACTGTCGAACAGAAAAATAGGGCTCTGGCAGGGAGAATAGGGCTTACTTTTATGATGCAGTTCATCTTGGATATTAATATGCTAACTAAAAGGCAACCAAAGACAGGGTCAGGAAAAGCTGAAGGCAACCAAGAAATATGTATGTTATTTATTTGATTGCATACTTTACTATGTAGCAGATGAGATTGCATTAATTGTCTTACTTTGGTGGTTTTCTGCTGTTTTAATTCAGCTTTGTTAGGGTTTATTGAGCATTTGCTCAGCACTAATTTGTAAATGACATTTTTATAAAAGTGATGTTCCCTGACTTAAGTAAAATCTTTATCAATGCAAAAATGGAACAGAAATAGCCTGAAAAGTGCTATGCTTTTTCCTCCCCTTTGATTTAAAGAAACATTGGATCCATTAAAAAGTTTAATTTGTTTTCTAACACAAGCATCTCCAATTGCCATAATGACAGCTATTCATTATTAAAAGGAGCCCCTGTGGTGCACTGGTTAGAGTGCAGTTCTGCAAGCTACCTCTGCAGCCAGCTGCCTACAATTTGGCAGTTCAAATCCCACCAGTCTCAAGGTTAATTCAGCTTTCCATCCTTTCGAGATGGGTAAAATGAGGACACAAATTGTTGGCGGTAATATGCTGATTCTGTAAACTGCTTAGAGAGGACTGTAAAGCACTATAAAGCAGTATATAAGTCTAAGTGCTATTGCTATTCATCAGCTATCACTGTTTCTTCATTCCTTTGTCATTTATTGAAAAGGTCAATAAATATCTTAAAGACTTGTCTTAAATCCAATCTTTGAGCAATGCTTTTGCCATCTGCTAAAGAGGGAAAAGAGCCATGGGAATAATCCATGAACTAAGATGCAAGAAGAAATGTTATAAGAAACACAGGTTCTTTCCTACCTTCTTGCCATTTACAAAGAAGACCAGTTCATTCTTTTCTGGGACCATTTTGCGCTTCTTCTGAATGGAAAATAGGAATAAGTTCTTGGATCACACTCTCTAAAGTTGCCCAACACAGCTGCAGCCTCAATCCCAGAGATATCAAAACAGACAATATGAGGCTTTCTTAGGAATCTTTCATCTTATATTGCAACACTGGAAGAGTCCAAGTTATAAAAGAACCACCCAGAGGCGTGTCCGCTACACTTGGCTGAGATTTCATACTCTAAAGGAAAAACAGAAAAAAAGTAGTCTCCACCCCTTTCTGTGCCCTGAAATTCGATGCAGTTTTCTATAGTTCAGGCAGCCAAACTTTGGCAGGAGAACAAGATTGCTCAAAATTAATGTCTCTTATATGTTCTTCCACTTGTGGCGTATGTCTACCATAACTGATTCTAGAAGAGCGGCTCTTGAACTATTTGACCCAATTTCCTCCTTTCCCAGTCTCGAATCATGTCCTTACCTCCATTAAAAAGAGCCCAGACTATTATTTCACAAGCTGCAGCTCAGACAGGATTCTTGACACACAAACAAGCAATTGCAAATTGCTTCATTGGATATGCTCAGATTATCCACTGGGGGTAATTAATGCCACTTTAGAACCAATGTGTCACATCATAACTTACAATAACTTTGTTAGTTTTTCTCAACTTTTGCTTTTAAAAAGCTGTCCGAACCTAAGGAATCTGTGCTTATAAGCTATATAATTGGACTGTAACTTAAAATACAAATTAGATATATTCATCCAATTGATTTTGTAATTCTCAAATCCTTGTAATTACAATATGTTAATTAAAACAAGTGAATGCATTCCTCTTGGGCAATTATGCTTCTGCATGGTTAGGGTTCGGCTCTGTCATCAGGACTTGAGATTTAGTCTTCTGAACTTTTGGACTCACGCTAGAGCCCATCCTCAGGGAATTTTACTCTAGCATAATGTGTTGCTTTCTAGCAGAATTATGCTTCTATTGGATGACTCTTAACTGTGATACGAACTACTGTCCGGTAGTTCTCTTGAGCAAAAATAATTCTTCAATCAACTTACAAAGGTTTTATTCAAGTTAAATGCTTTCCTTTCATAGCTCTCAAAAACAGCTATAGCATCTATTATTTAATTTTGAAAAGATTGGCATTAAGTGGTCAGCATCAAATCAAGCATGACCTAATTATAATTTATTTGTATTCTCCTCCTCTTTCTAAATAAAATATAAGTATACCTGTAAGAAAAATCCTGTTTAAATAGATGATCAGTTATAACACTTCCTGAGACCCTTATGATAATTCCCCTGCAATTCTTATTGTTACTAATAATTAGTAGTAGTCCTTCATTTTTAAAAGGAATATTATGCAACACATAGCTACATTCCTCAGCTTTTACTAGAGTATTCCGAAACATGTGTATACATGCATTAAGCACATATTTGAAGTAATGTTTGTGCATATGACGAATTAGACTTTCATTATCACAGATGCATTTCAAAGGTGTAGTTGATGAAGCAGTATTCCAAAACTCAAATATATCCAAACTCCACATGCAAATGCATCAATAATTCTGAAACAATTGGTTAAGCAAGTTGGAAGTTGATATTATCCATGTTCATAGCAACCTGGTTGGATTTCCAATATCATGCTTCTTAGTATTTTTGATACAGTACAGTATAGCTCAGGAAAATATAAACCCTGAAATATTTGTAGTGTCACACAAACTTTAATTATATTTCAACCATATTTTAGGCCATGTCTTTAAAGGCACACAGTGTAGCAATCTCAAATTTATCAGACTTGGATATGTTTACTTCCTGGGTGATGGATTGCCTGACACCCTTTTGGCAACCTTGACATTGGCAAAGAAAGCTAGAGAGATTAAAAATACTTAAACATTTACTCACTCTACTTAATGATGAAAAGGAAAGTAGAACATTTTCTCATCTGAACTTCCTGCTAACCAGTGGTGGTATTCAGCAGGTTCTGACCAGTTCTGGAGAACCAATAGTGGAAATTTTGAGTAGTTCAGAGAATCGGCAAATACCCCCTCTGACTGTCTCCACCCCATCTATTCTCTGCCTTCTGAGTCCCAGCTGATTGGCTGGGTCTTATTTTGTTCCCCTGCACAGAAGAAGGGAGCTGGAAAGCAGGTTAGTGGGGGGGGGGAGGGAATGGGGATTTTGCAGTAACCTTCCCCTGCCATGTCCACCAAGCCACACCTACCAAGCCAAGCCATGCCCACCAAGCCACACTCACAGAACTGGTAGTAAAAAAATTGAATCCCACCACTGATGCTAAACCAGTGTGTAGCCAAAAATGTGGCCAAATGGCCTCTACATTCTTTATCCCTGCCTTTTTAATGATCCAAACAATAGAAATTTAAGTACAGAGTGCATATTCTGCAAGCCAAATATCTCAGTTTCATCCTTGGTATTTTCAGTCTATGCATCTCAGACTGAAGAAGAAAAAGAACAGGAAGATGTTCAAAAACAGAGGCACAGACCACGCACTAGGCATAATGGGTTAATGAACTGATTTATTAGATGATAATTTAATGTTCTTAAAACTTTTCCTTCTTAGCTGGCCAGATAAGAGCACCAAAGTCACTTAAAACCTGCTAATCATGTGTGTAAGAAATGAAGAATAAAGCTGAGACATGGCTGTAAGGCCAATTACTCCTGTAAAAAATGAAGACTCTCTATATTAGAGGTCTCCAAACTTGGCAACTTTAAAACTTGTGGACTTCAACTCCCAGAATTCTGGGAGTTGAAGTCCACAAGTCTTAAAGTTGCCAAGTTTGGAGACTCATGCTATATATTGTCAAGAAACAAAGCAAAAAAAATGAGAATTGGTTTAGATTCGCCAGTGACTTTGATAAGATTCTCTAAAATGAGGTAAACTCGTAATCAAATTAGACCTTATGTTTAGCAAATAAACCAGTGAAAGAGTCCATGCCCATTTGCAGGGAGAAGACTTTGGGTTTTAAAAAGATTAAGGCTTTTAGAATGAGCTGAGGCTTGCAATGAATACTAAAAACACTCCCAATCTCACAGTACTTTGAGACAGGTGCAGAACAAGAAGAATGTCAATGAAGTGGTCAGTTTGCTTCTTGGAGAAGGTAACTAGATGGTGACAGACAACAGGGAGAAGGTTGAACTGCTTAATTCCGATTTTGCTTCTGACTTTTTGCAAAGGAAAAATGTGCTCCAATCTGTCAGAATATGTACAACAGGGGACTGAAGGGAAATGCAAGTCAAAATTGGCATGAAGGTGGTAAGAGAGCACTTACTTGCTTTGAATAAATTCAAGTCACTGAGACTGGATGGATTACATCCCCTTGCACATGCAATCAAGATAAGATAGATGTGAAAATAGATGTGAGACTGTAGACCCTTATCTTGGCTGCATAAAATTGATAGAAATATATTGATATAAAGGTATGGCTCTATCTCTACAATGAAGAACCTTGAGAAAGATTTTAGCTGTATTCCAGGATTTTCATATGTAGCTTTTCAAATAAATGTATTTAATTCAGAGAGCAGAAATATCCTATTTGAACAATCATAGTACCCCCAAAATATGCTTATTAAATATATGTTTTTAAAAAGCAAAATAAAATAAAAGGTCATTGAAAATAGCAACACAGTTGCCAATAGATTATTAACACTATCTTAATTTAAATCTTTTTTTTAAATTTTTATTGGTTTTTTTAAGACGAACATAGACAAACAAAACATAAAAATATCAAGCCATCTTCCATATATATACATACAGTGTGCCGGTTGGTTTACAAGTTGTTTTGTGCTTCCATTTCATTGTCTTCAATTATAATTACATTGTATATATTCTCATATTTTCAATCAAGTATTAAATACATTAATATCATTGTTAATCAATCATTTGACTATACTTTTATTTATTCATGTTTTATGAAATAATCATATTTTACTTAAATTGTTTTGTGACAGTTCATATTATCATCTCAAATCTATCCTACAATCATTTTGTAGATGTAATAAGAAAAGAATACAGCTTTATATATTATTTTCTAAGAATCTACATATTTCATTACCATGTTTCATTTTCTAACCATTGATAGAATAGATCCCAGATTTTATAAAATTGTTTATCATCTTGTTCTCTGATTTCAAATGTCAATCTACTCATTTCAGCACATTTCAATATTTTCTTAATGATTTCCTCCTGTGATGGTATTTTCCCATTTTTCCCATTTTTAGCAAATACAATCCTAGCCACTGTTAATACATTTACAATCAGGTATTTCAAGTCTTTACTATATATTTCAGGTAAAATTCCCAATAAAAATATCTCTGGTTTCAAATCTAGATGCTTTTTTGTCATTTTTTTCCAACCACGTGTGGATTTTAGTCCAATATTTTTTAGCATCCGCACAAGTCCACCACATATGATAATATGAGTCAGGTGTCTGATGACATTTCCAACATTTTTCTGATTTGTTCTTGAACATTCTTGCTATTCTTGTCAGGGGAAAATGCCACCTGTAAAACATCTTATACAAATTTTCTTTATATGCTGTTGACATTGTCATTTTATAATTTTGAAACCACAATTTTTGCCATTTCTCTAGATCAATCCCATATCCAAAATTCTTCCCCCAAGCAATCATTGTTTCTTTAACTTGTTCTTCTTCTAGTTTAATTTCTAATAAATATCCATATAATTTTTTAATCACTTTTTCATCAGTACCTGTCAAAATCTTATCTAAATCAGTCAGTTTATCATAGAAGCCTTCTGTTTTAGAGTCTTTCTCCTACCTTGAATGTATTTGCGCATATGAAAAACAATTCATCTTTATACCTTGTTCCTCTAATTTTTGTATAGATTTAAGTTCACCCTTTTCATTCAATATTTCACCATATCTAACTGTTTGTTCCTTTTTATATATTATAGGATAAGAAAATGCTTCAGTAGTTGATAGCCGGACTGGAATTTTCACATAACATTGTCTTTTAATCTTCTCCCAGTTTAACCACAGAGACTCCCATATATAATGTCTTCTAAAATACCCCTGTGATTTAGTTCCTTTATACCATAGAAAAGGATGCCACCCCAACAACAGATCATGTGCTTCTAGTGTCAACAATCTAGTGTTTCTTAATGTTATCCATTCCTTAACCCACATCAAATTTGTAGCTTGGTAATACAACTTCCAATTAGGCAAACAAAATCCTCCTCTTATTCTAGCATCTTGCAAGAGCTTTAGCTTTATTCTCGCTTTCTTTCTTTGCCATATATATTTCAACACGATTTTATTTAAATCTTCAAAGTAGTCTTTTCCAAACCTGATTGGAATTGTTTGGAACAAATATAAAATTCAAATATAAAATTCTATTCATCTTGATTGTTGATATTCTCCCTATTAATGACAGTTGTAAATTTTCCCATTTCACCAATTCTAACGCTATCTGCTGCTTACGTTTGCTATAATTATTCTCTTTTAGTGTACTGCATCTTGCTATCAAATGTATCCCCAAGTACTTAATCTTATTTGTAACCTGAATTTTCAATAGATCTGCCAGTTCTTCCTTTTGTCTTGATAGCATATTCTTTGTCAAGATCTTTGTCTTATCTTTGTTTATTTTCAAACCAGCCACTTTTCCATATGCCTCTATCTTTTCTATCAATTTTGATGCTGTTTCTAGTGGGTCTTCTAAAATGAAAACCAGATCATCTGCAAATGCT